CTACCACACAGCCCGCAACTCGGCAAGGGGATGTGGATGAGGAACTCCCTCCCGTCTCAAGTCGCTCACAAAGTCGTCGTAACTGCCGCCGCTTTCGCGAATTGGCGGCGGACTCCGTCCCTCAAGATTGGGGGCAGTATGTAGTAGACTGTGGTATACATACTGTGGAACTTTTGCTATAATGTAGTGGATTTTCGCAGTGTGTGGAGTTTCGCGAATTCGGTAGTTCTAATAACCTAATGTACAAAGACGGGATGATGGGATTCGGCCTCAAACCTTATCTTTTCCTTTTGGACCTCGATCATTGAAGTGACAGAGCAGTCAGGAATCGGATAACCAAGTCATAGATTGCCACCAACAACCAACAACCTCCAAATTCGGGAGGGACTTCCCGAAGAAAACAATTAAACACTTACAGTCTTCTTGCGTTGTCAATTGTTGTTGTCAATTGTTGTTGTTGGTTGTTGTTGGTCGTGGATTAGTCTACACTAATTCCCGGAAGCTTAGCTCCGTCCAGGTACAGTACCAGTGAAAGTTTGCCGGAACTTCCTTTTAACTTCTTTTTTTCTTTGGTGGTGCATACCAGAAGAAAGGTGTGATCAGTATCGGGATCGTCGCCGAAAGGCCCGTATCCGTTATGGTGCTCCTACTGTATTCTTGGTCCTGAATTACTAGTGTATGCACAGTAGGTAGTGTAGTAGCCGCTAAGTATCGCGCTCTGTTCAAGAATGGGGACGACCGACCGGCGTTAAACTTTTGATACTGTACACGTGTAGATTATTATTGGGAATTTGGGAATCCCACAACATCGGTGCTTCGCCTGATATCTGGACTTTGGGGGGCTCAGAAGCGGCAGTTTTTCATCTTATCGGTTTCCTTTTTTTTTGCATCTCCCATCCCATCCTATGAGATTCTGATTCTCCGACGGCCGGGAGTTCTCTCTTGGCTTTCATTCTTGGGTTGGTGCAAATGGTGCAGTTTCTCCTTTGATCACATTCAGTTGGCAGAGGCTATGCACAATTGACGACCAATCTTTTCTCGTACCTTTTTTTTTTTTTTTTTTTCCTTCCTCCTCGTGAATGCCGTTGTCGGCGTGTCGGTTGTCTTTCGGTTATTGCCTTGTTTCTCGCTTCCATTCTTCCTGCATCACTAGCCGAGGGAATTTTTTTTTTTTTCCAAGTGCCAACGAAGCACGAAGATCTTTGCACCCTTTTTGTTCTCGAACAAACTTAATTCCCATAACCAATTCTCGGGACGCCGATCATGCCTTGTATGAAGAGTGCCTTTTCCGAAAGAGGGATGGGAAGAAAATAAGCGCACCAGAGTAGGGCGTGGTTGTTGGGAGTTGTGAGAGATTTCGTTAGACTACATTGAACACGGGGATATACTGTATCGTGCGCCTTGCTGCTTTGCGATGCGATGCATTTACCTTGGCCGCAATGCACGATGAGAAGCAGAAGAAGCAGCAGCGGGTGTTGCTCTCTGATATGCGAGGCGAGGCGAGCACCCGTTGGTGCAGGTAGGCTGAAAAGCTTGACAGGTGAATCCCGAGAACAGGCATGCTGTTAACACTGCATTGGAGAGCATATGGCACTGTATCAACAGCACCAAGGACGAGGATAGAAATCCCAACGGTCCGGTCCGGGTAACTTGATGTGGTGATCCGAAATTATAAGCGCGAGATTGAGATGGGAATGTCAACGGCGACGTGACATGGAACACAACTTTAAGCTCGCACTTGCACGTATCAGAGGGCTTTCGCAAGCGCGGTCAAATTGATGTCTTGACGACGACAGACTTGTGAGGCGTTGTACATATGCAAGAGCCGTAACGCGTTTCTGCATCCTGACTTTTTCACTTGCAGAGTTCTTTTCCTAACTTCCGCTTTCCATCTTCCGTCTTCCGCGAAGGAAGATCGAAGATCCGATGCGACTCTGCGAAACCGGGATGCGTACAAGCTTTCGAGGCCGCCAACCTCTTTTTGTCGTCGGTAGCCTGCCATTGAGCTCCACCGAGATGCAAGTTGTATCACAACCTAACTGCAATAGTCAGGGCTCTTATTGTTCAGGGTTGAAGGATACGACAGAGGAAGGAAAGGATAAAGAAAACGCTGGCGAGCAGCAGTATAGTGCATGTGTTTAGAACGGTGGAAGTTGGTGTTTTCTCCGCGGTATCAGAGTGCGGCATCTACACTAGTTAGGATTGCGGGAACAGGCGTCTCGGAAATGGCACCCGCCGCCTGTGACAGGTCTGCCTGGTCACTATCTTGTTTCTTTTTCTGGGGCCATCAATGTTTGAGATGTCCGAGATTGGTGTTTGGGAGTTCCAATTGCTTTTTTCTTTCTTTTTCTGTTAATGAACCCTAGCATGTGAACAGTCGATGAAAAGTGTTGGTGTTGGTTCCTGAATTGTAACCTGTCACCTGTCGCCGAGTTCCCCGCGGCCTGGGTTCAGCGATCGGAGCTTTCCCCGTCCAATGACGGCGACAAGGTTCACGACAATATGATCCTTGCTGTAATTGCCCGTGAGTGGTAACGAGTCCCGAAGACGAAGCGAGGCGGGAATATGTAGTCTAGGTACCAAGCAGTGCAGTGCAGCGGTGCAGCCTGAAGTGCCCTTCGCTTCAAGAAATGCAGATGGAATTGTTGACGACTCGGCTGGCAACGGCCGAATGGTCTGTGCAGGCCCGGCCCGAATGCTCTCCAAACTATTGGGTTGGCTTTGAGGTTCAGCTTGGCCAAAGTCTGAACTGATCTCCAAAGTCCTGCTTTCCACTTAGTATCACTATAGTTTCTGGGGAGATTTCCTGGGAGATGTTGGGTCAAGTACAGTATTAGTGCAAGACACCTCTTTTTTGAGAATCGCGACAAGTTCTCCAACGGCAATTCGTTTTGTACTCCCCACTCTCGTCCTCAGTGACCGGACGCAAAGGAAGGACCTGAGCTGGAGCAAGTGGATGGGTCAGGGGGGTACCTGGCTCTTGCCCAAGTTGAACAGCCCCAAAGTTGACTGACACGAGACAGGGAAACCGCGGACTCGCGGTCTGGACTTTGTGGTGGAATCAAGTGATTTGGCTCGACGTATTGGATGGATCCCAAAGACCTTGCTGGGAACTTCCCGTCTCGCTTTCAGCAACACAGAGAGGTTATTATCAATCAGTCGTCACATTCCCACATCCATGTGAGTCGGTTAAAGTGCAGACTCGGAGTGACATGATGTTGTCCACCACCCCTTCAACCTGAGGATGCGGTCTCCCGTTGTCAGGCGACAGTCCCTCAAAAGCGGTATTGAACATGTGAAAACCCTCCCTGGCATCTCAACGTTGCGTGCTGACCTTCAACTCCTTCGGTTGGATCCCATACGACGTTTCTCTGTGCTTTGGCTCCCGACTCGGTGGGCCGTCCAGTCAGCAAGGTTACAAGGGCCCGGGGCACCGGTTTCGAGGTCCTGAGAATCCAGTCAGGGCCGGAAGGGGTCCTTCGAGGGTCCATATGGGAATCCATCAGGGAATCCATCAGGGAGGGGTCCATCGGGTTCGCAGTTCCATGGGAATCTCGTCTTTGCCAAGGATATATTTACGGCACGATAGCTGGGGAATGTGAATGAACTTGGGGAAAGGTTGGGGCCGATCCTCAGATCTAGGACATTGTCAACAACCAAAAGACTTCGCACTGTTGGTGTTGCCTTAGTTGTGCCGTCCATCCTAATTCCATGCTTTCCTGATTGAGACACAGACACAACGACAGGGCGACAGCTCATCTCCCGAGATCCGGGTCGGTCGAGACCGTCATAAGCTCTCGTCTAGGTATAGCTGCCCACTATAACCCCTCACGGCGGTATCGCCCCTGGTCTTGGTACGGGGTTGAAGGGCCAAGGGGGGGAGACTTGGCTTGGAGGGGCTCTTGTGAACTCGAGCCAAAAAGCCATTCGTCGCCAGTTTGACACTAATATGCTCCTACGGTAACCAATATAAGGATTGCCAGTGTCTTGGTGCCGCGAAAGGACGGTCCCATCGGTAGAGGATGCCGCTCTTGATTACCAGGTCAATGAAGGTGACAACGACGGCAACGCTGGGACGCTCCGGGTCCCTAGTCCAGCTGCCTGTTCCTGAGTAGAAGAAGAAAAAGAAAAAAAGAAAAAAAGAGGAAAAAGATTGCAATCCATTTGGTGACAGCAACGGTATCCATCTCCCGGGTCCCAAGCAACGCATCCCGTCGGGTCACATCGTCGACACATTATCCAGTCGCGAGGGCTCCGACCCCCCGTGAACGAGGCGGGACCCCATCCGGATCCCAGTGGAGAGCCGTGGTTGGCTGCGCCATGTCGGGTAGAGGTCCCCAAAAATTCCTGCCGGCGCTGGCTGCAGGGTCGAATGCAGAGTGTGGCCTGCACAGCACACCCGACCGACCCTGAGTGAACCCCCCATCCCCCTGGCGGACCCCCCGGTACCTATACCACCACCCACCGGGCCATTACCTCCTTTACCGTCACCCACCACACTGTAACTTTTGAGGGTCCACCCAACGTCCTCGGCGACAGGGCACTGTATCGAGAGTTCGGCGCTTCCCAATCAATCCCGTCGACGGTCTTTTCTCTTTTTCGTGGGCCAGACATTGACACATCCCTTCACTTCTTCCTCCCGCTCGTACCTACATATGTAGATCGATGCAGCTGCTTCGACCTCTCGATTCTTCCTCTCAACTTTCCCAATCCAACAAACACCACCGACCACTCCGATCTTGGCCTCTCTTTGCCGAGTCACTACTTAGACTACACGAGTCAAGCTTAGACTTCAACAACCCCACCATCCCACCTCGTGCCGGCAATTCTTTTTAGGTAGCTTAGCTCCATCCTTACCTAGTGATCTTTTCCACTCTTGACGAGAGCTCTTTTCACTCACACGACTTGTCCAACTACAATAGCTACCTCGAGTGTATTCGATATCTTTCTTGGATTGCCTTCCGCTGTACATCCAACAAACTCAAATCACAACAGCCAACATGTCGACAAGTCAGGAAACGCAGCCACACTGGTCCCTCAAGCAGTCGTTTGCTGAGCGGGTAGAGAGCTCGACGCATCCCCTCACCAGCTACCTCTTCCGCCTGATGGAGGTCAAGCAGTCCAACCTCTGCCTCAGCGCCGATGTCGAGCATGCGCGGGATCTCCTCGCCCTTGCCGACGAGGTGGGCCCCTCGATTGTCGTCCTCAAGACCCACTACGACCTGATCACAGGGTGGGACTACCACCCGCACACGGGCACCGGCGCCAAGCTGGCCGCCCTTGCCCGGAAGCACGGCTTCCTCATCTTCGAGGACCGCAAGTTCGTCGACATTGGCAGCACCGTCCAGAAGCAGTACACGGCCGGCACCGCGCGCATTGTCGAATGGGCCCACATCACCAACGCCGACATCCACGCCGGAGAGGCCATGGTGAGCGCCATGGCCCAGGCCGCGCAAAAGTGGAGGGAGCGCGTCCCCTACGAGGTCAAGACGTCGGTTTCGGTGGGCACCCCGGTTGCGGACCAGTTCGCCGACGAGGAAGCCGAGGACCAGGTTGAGGAGCTGCGCAAGGTCGTCACCCGCGAGACCAGCACCACAAAGGACACGGATGGGAGGAAGAGTAGCATCGTCTCCATCACGACCGTCACGCAAACATATGAGCCGGCCGACTCGCCACGTCTGGTCAAGACCATCTCGGAGGACGATGAGATAGTGTTCCCCGGCATCGAGGAGGCGCCTCTGGACCGCGGCCTGCTGATCTTGGCCCAGATGTCGTCCAAGGGCTGCCTCATGGACGGCAAGTACACATGGGAGTGTGTCAAGGCGGCGCGCAAGAACAAGGGCTTTGTCATGGGCTACGTTGCGCAGCAGAACCTGAACGGCATTACCAAGGAAGCTTTGGCCCCAAGCTATGAAGACGGCGAAAGCACGACAGAGGAAGAAGCGCAAGCAGACAACTTCATCCACATGACACCGGGCTGCAAGTTGCCGCCACCAGGAGAGGAAGCGCCTCAGGGCGACGGACTTGGTCAGCAGTACAACACGCCGGATAACCTTGTCAACATCAAGGGCACCGATATCGCGATTGTTGGGCGTGGCATCATTACCGCGGCGGATCCTCCGGCCGAGGCCGAGCGCTACAGGAGGAAAGCCTGGAAGGCGTACCAGGATCGCCGGGAGCGTCTGGCATAGAAGACTGGGGAATAAGAGATGGCGGAGGATATTTCGTTTTCATATGACTGGGATGAGCGTCTACATAATTCTTGGTGGCATCATGTAATCACACTCGGTTATTCTTCTGGCCGGGACTGTATCAGGTCGCAGGCCATGGATATATTGTGGAAGAAAACATACCATAGTCATTTGTAAGGCACGGGCAAGGAGGGAGGTTGTTATTTATTTGGGCCAAGGGTTTCTCTAAGGATTTGGGCGGCTTCGAACGGCGTTTGGGCGATAATAAATGCTTGGCACTTTTGGCCTGCCGTTTTTTGCTGTGTATACCATAATGCTATTTTCTGTACATTATCTATGTCTTGATATTCACTTTGTTTACCTATGTTCTCTTGTTTGGCAACATTCGATATCCAGTTCCAAAAAGCGACGAATGATGAAGATCCTTTTAAACAAAAAAAAGACAGACCAGGGTCGCGGAGTTAACTGGCTTATCCCCGGGCTCGTTTTCCCCTGGACGACTTCTCCGCATTTGGCGATGGTGGGACGTCGAACTTGACTATTTCCGTTTTTTTTCGCAGGCAGTAGAGATCTTCTGCCGATTGATCGGAACTACGCAAGGCTAGTTCTTCAAAGGTAAGCAGCTTCGCGGAATAGGTCCGTCATTCCAGGCATGAAATTACTGATGTCGGTCGTCAGCCCAAAATTGAAGCCATTCAGAGGGACGATCGTACCTTCCCCCCACCCCCAATACAGACTCCAGTGAGGTTCCTTCCCGCCTTACATCAACAGCACATTTGATTAGCCCCCCCACTTTCCCTTCCTCGCTTCTGATTCCTCATGCTTACAAACGACGAGGGTCAAGGTGTCTGCCTGCCGTGAGAGCTGACTGGATCCGTCAATTGTCTGACAGCTCGGGTTCATGACAAGCAGAAAGCGAGTCCTTTCGACGTTGAGGGTGTGATCGTCAAAGTGGTTAGTGATCAAAGGTAAAGGTAGTTTGAGCTCAACTGACTGATCCCAAAAAATACATTCGCGATACATGTGCTAATCTCACAAGTGTCCAGGGGCAACAGACACTAAATCAATGAAAGAGGAACACACTTTACAAAATCAGGAAAATGACTGCCTTGAGCCTCGAGGAAGGCTCCAACTTCAACATCAATGCCAATCACAATGGGTCAAGTCACCATACCCGCGCTGTCTCTGTCAGGCCTCCACCACGGAAAAGAAGGAGGATAGTCATTTCTTGCACAGAGTGTCACCGGAGGAAACAGAAGGTGAGTTGACCTTAACTGAAATTGTCAAACATCTCTATTAACGCCCGCCACATATCCATAGTGTGACCGCAAACTTCCTTGTACAAACTGCATCTCCCGCCATAGACAAGATGACTGCCAGTATGAGTCTGGAGCTCCCACCGCCAAAGAAACACAACGGTATCAGCAGCAGCCAAAGCGAGCACAACGGACCAGCTCCAATGAGACTGAAACAGTAATTCACGGAGCCGGGCTCGATGAGAATAGGGGTAGCATCACGGAGGGACAGTGGTCAGGAGAATCCTCCACCGATGACAGCAATGACCACCAACACATCCCCTCCAACGTTGCCAACATCGCCAACCTCGGCTACTCGACCACCGGCGCTTCGACCTCCACCCTCAGTTTCATTCACAAGATCGAGAATCACTCCGAGTCATCCTCATTACCTCACCCATCCTCCACACTCCCACTGTCCAACGGGGATGGCCGAGTGTCTACATCGCCAACTGACATTGTCAACCGCTACAAGTCTTTGATCCGTCAGCTACCGGCGAGGATATACATCGAGAGACTGGTCGATGTTTACTTTCGGGATTTCAACTGGCAGTACTCCATGCTGGATCGAGACATATTCGATGCTCAGCTAGAGGAGTGGTATAAAATCCCGTTTAATGTGTTTAACAATGGGGGCCCGGGGGCAATACCGCCGGATTTGAGGGTGTTTCCGGCGTTGTTGTTTCAAGTGATGAGTATAGTCATGTTAATTTTGCCTGAGAAGACTGGGAAGGGGGCTCGGGAGGAGGTGGTAGCGGATGGTAGGGATGGGGAGGGCAGTGGTAGTGAAAAGGGAAAAGTTGGGAGTAAGCGGACGGCAAATACGGGAGTCAAAGGAGGTGTGGATTTTGAGGCTCTCAAGTACGCTGGAAACATGACGTTCGAGGATCTAGCGAAGGAGTACAGTGAGTCTGGTGTGGCTATTTTGTCACTGCTGGGCAAGAGGCAGATGACACTGACGACAGTTCTCGCTGGGTTCGTGAGGGCTGCGTTTCTGAAGTTTGTCGCAATGGTTCCCGAAGCTGTGAGTAACACTTATCCCTCTCTTCACAACGACCAGTCTCTAACATGGCCATAGTGGCACGCAATAGGCACCGCCATCCGCGATGCTCAAGAACTCGGCCTCCACCGCTCCTCTCTCGACCCTCGTCCTCCCCCTTCCGCCACCGCCGAAGCCATCCTCCAAAACCAATGGGAAATCCAACGCCGCCGCAAAGTCTGGCTCATTCTTGTAACCTGGGACATCCACTGCGGTGCTACGCTTGGCCGGCCCTCCACCATCGACCTAACCACCAACCCGCCAATCCTACCCATCGACGTCGCTCTTCCCACCACCACCACCACCATGACCAACTGCCGCTCTCCTACACCCATCATTCCCCGCTCCGAAGAAAACGACCCCCCAACGCCCCTCACTCGCATCCTCTGGACCTACAAAATCACCCTCCAACTCGTCTCCATCCTGGCCCTAGAGAAAGAAGGTCCCTGCCCAGCGTCCTTTTCCAAAGTCGATCTTCTCCATCAACACTTGGTAGATCTCGAAAACTCTATCCCTTCCTACTTCCGCTTACACAACCCCGACACCCGCTTCGACTCGCTGCCCCAATGCTACTGGATCCCCTGGGCCCGCGCCCTCCTGCCGCAGCTGACCGCCTTCAACTTTATGGCCTTGCACCGTCCGTATATCTTTGCTCGCCCCTTGTCTCGCCAGCTAGCAGTCGAAAGGGGGTGTTTGGCCATGCTGAGAGCGCAACGAACGCATTTTGAAATTTTGAGACGGGAGATGAGGCAGAATACGTTTACCTTGTTTTTTGGCACGTTTGATGCGATTGTGTTGATGGGGGCTGTGTATATTCTTTTTCCGAAGGAGAAGGAAACGGGGGAAATGGTGGGGGAGGTGGTGCAGCAGTTTAAGTGGGCGGAGGAGCGGTTTGAGGAGATGAAGGAGCGGAATCCGTTGGCGAGGCAGGCGAGGGGGGTGGTGAGGGGGGTTGGGGAGAGATTAGGGCGGGCGGTGGGTGTTGATTTGGGGCAGAAAGGCGTCAGGGTTGGTGGTGGGAGGGGGGATAGTCTGGTATTAGAAGGTACAGCAGCGGCTGTTAAGCCTACCACTGTTGCCGTTGGTGGAAGAAGGAAAAGACTGGCGAGGCAGAGGGTTGTCACGTCTGTTACCACGTCCACGGTTCAAAATGGGCTCTCGACGGCTTCCTTGTCAACATCAGTACCATCGGGTATCGCTTCCAGGGCGGATAGCTCAACCACCACACCTGCCACCGCTACCTCAACAACAACAACAACAACGGGAATAACAACTCCAGAGTCCACCGCGCCCCCTTCCCTTGCACAAAGGCAGTTCGGTACAGCAACGTCCGAGATCAACACCGCCATCACCAACGCCTTTCATACCTCTACTACCTTTCCATTTAACCATACCTCATCCGAGACCATCCCCATCGACCCGAGTCTCAATCCAGCCCTGTCCCCAGGAGTCGCAGATTGGGCCGCCGCCGCTTCCACCATGCCCTCCATATCCCTCCCGTCTCTCCCCGACGACTTCAACTGGACCCACATCTCCCCGATATATGCGACGGGAGACCTGGTCTATAACGACCTGACGGGTTTTGTGTACGACGAGTTTGATCCTGTCGTTCATGATGGCAGTAACCACTTGGTACAGAGGGGTGATGGTGGTGGTTATGAAGATGGGTTGGGAGGAGTCGGCTTAGGGAATGGGCTGGTTACAGGGATCCCAAGTCACATAGATATAGACATGGACATCGCCCCAGGCACGGGGGATGCGGGAACAGAAGGTGACATGCCTAGGTTGATGGGAGTTGATCAGGATGACGAGAACATTGGCGAAAGACAGAGTCAGAGTCAAAGTCAAAATGAGGCGTTGTGGATGTTTGATGGACGGGGGATTGGGGAGGGGACTTGTGTTTGGGGGTTGTTGAATCGGTATTGATTGGCTGATGGCTACCGGTTACTTGTCTGGGTTCAGCAAGGGAAAGAAAAGAAGCAAGCGAGGCGAGTGAAGCAGGTCCTGACGAGTACTGCTGGGTCTCTGGGTGGTTGAAATCAGGTTGGGAGATTCGGACATGTCACTTTGAAAAAGACAATTTGAAAAAAATGGGACTCGGCACTAGTTTTTATGTTTGTCTACCTTTGATGTTATGGCTGTGTAAAGCTCTCTCTGCATTAAGAAAAGAGTAAGAGTTTGAGAGCTGTGTGAAGCAATCTAGCCATGTGTCATGGAGCGATGTATTGTATCACTCGCAAATTCCCTTACCTGGTGATCGCAAACCCCCATCCGTTCTCTTCCCCTTTCAATTCCCTTTCGGCTACCGTTCCCAATCCCTTTGCATCCCCTTTCGATTCTCATCCTCATCCCCATCCCCACCCCCATTCCCATTCTCGATTCCATTCTAGTGAAAACCCACCCTCTTGAGCAAGTCAAGTCTCAAGTCTCAAGTCCCATGCGCTCAATCAATCAAACCCCGTCCGTACCCATACCATAAACCGAAACCAAGATCCAGCCTGTCCTGTTCTGAAACCGCGAATAAGCAAAATCTACCTACTCCGTTCTGGTTCCTCCATCATTCCCCGTGATGCCCCGTGATGCCTCGTGTGTTGTATCGTGTTGTATCGTGTTGTGTTGTGTTGTGTTGTGTTGTGTTGTGTTGTGTTCAAACCAACCCCGTTCAAACCCCGTGTTGGAAGTGCGAGTTAATAGTAGCAAAACCCCCGACCATTCTCCCATGGTTCCCCTGAGTGATATCCCGTGAGTGATGCTCTGTGATGCTCTGTGAGTCATGCGCCATCATCCCCCCGGATGCCCAGTAAGTAATGCCCATCATTCTCCCCTTATTCCCTCCCATGATGCTTTGTGAGTGATGCCCCATCATCCCTCCGGATGCCCAGTCAGTAAGTGACATGTCATGTCCATGTCATGGCATGTCGGTTCAGTTCAAACCCCATATCGATGTCAGCCAGCCAGCCACATAAAGACGGCCAGTCAGATGTACCTAGCCAGCCAGCCAGATGTACCTAGCCAGCCAGTCGATGCAGCCTTCCAAGGATACCGAGGATACCTAGGTACCTACCGACCGAGATATCCCAAATCGGTACATACCGTCCCGCTCATGCATGGAAGACAACCTCAAGACAAGCAAGGCCGGGTATGTAGGTGATGGGTCCATAGGTAGGATGTTGATGCGGGGTGAGGGGTACTTCCTACCTAACTCCTTGGGGTGTTCGTGTGTTCGGAGTGTGGTGATATTGCTAGGTATGCTTTGTGCGTATCGGATGTTTGGGTGTGTTGTGTCCGTGCTGTTGTTTGTTGTTGTTGTGTGAAGTGGAAGCTGAAGTGAAGTGAAGTGAAGTGAAGTGAAAGCTGAAGTAAAGTGAAGTTGCAGTTGAAAGTTGAAGTGAAGTTGAAGTTGCACTTGAAGATCAAGTTGAAAATACGATGCTATTAGTGATAAGTATGATGTACGATGATCACGCATCTCTTTTCTTTCTCCTCTTCCACAAGCAAGCAAACCGTTGAACCCCTTTTTTTGTGCTTTCGTGCTTTTCTGTTTTCCGTTTCTCCCCCCGCCAGCCAAATATGAAAAAGGAAAAAAAGTAAGATACCAATGTTGAAAAGTAGAAAAAGGAAAAAAGGCAGGAAAGTGAACCCGATCAACTCCCAAATAGGTTACCAATGGCGATTACCCCATGGACGTGTAAGGAAAATGAGGGTATCATGTTGTTATCTGCGCCGTGAATGCGCCGTGTGAATGCCGTGAAATCATTGAGCGATCAAACCCCAAGACCCAAGACCCAAGGAAGCAAGTCGTAATGATGTTGTATGCTGTGTGCTGTCGAAAATAGCAAGAAGGGACGTATGGCTGTGGTATACCAACAGCCCAACCGATGATTAGATGTATGTATCGCCAGGCAAAGGCAATGCCGCCGACTAGAAGGAAAGGAGTGACTCATGCTACCCCCCAAGCACTTCCACATCCTCCCCGAGTATCAAGTTAGGTTAGGCGACAGGCAGTCTAAACCATAACCAAAACATCACTCCTCCTCACCAACCTCGTCCCAATATTCATCCCCCTACTATCATCCCTCATCGTCACCCCGGGCGTCACCACCAGTGAAATCCTCATCTGCCTCGCCTGCAACTGTCCCGCCGGCACCTCACTATTCACCGCCGTATGACTCGCCTCCACAAACTTACTGCACGTCTCGCTCCACAGATAAACATACGTCATCCTGGATTCCCATCCCATCTGCGCAACACTCCACGCCCTCTCGGCAATACTAAACAAATCAAACAGCGCCTCATCACGCACATCGCTCTTCGGCCCAGGCGGCAAAAACGGTCCCACCATCTTCTTGAACTTTTGGTAGTGATCATTCACTTTATAGTTCTTGAATTCCGCCCATTTCGGGTGATCAACCATTTGCTTGACCAGTTCCGCCTGGCGATTGACCATTGCTTGACGCTCGTGCGTCTTGCTGTGGTTTTGGGCGCCTGAAGAGTCCTTGAGGCGCGCAGAAAGGGAAGCCATTTCTTTGTCGACTGAGGGCTCGTATCCCGTCCATCCCTCGGATTGGAGCATTGTGGATGTGATGTATTGTACGAGGAGGCGTTCGACGAGGTAAGGGCGGGAGACGTCGTCGTTGAGGAGGAAAGAAACGTGCGATTCGCCTATCTTGCGGCCGCGGCCCGGGTAGACGAGGTCGCACATGTAGGAGAAGAGGGAAGGGGATTCCTTGCGGAGACGTGACTCGACTTCTGGCATGGGTTTGCCAAAGTATTTGTGGGTGAAGGCGCGGATGACGACTGTTAATAGGTGGGTGAGTTTGCCGGAGAAGGTGGCGGTTGGGCCGTCCTCGTCGTGGGTCTTGGGTGTCGGAGGGATGAAGATGGCGGTGGGAGGACCGTGATCGTGGGAGCGATTTCCACCGCCACGACCGGAGCCGGCTGAGCCACGAGAGACGGGACTGCCCCATTCGGAAACAACGCGGCCGGTGCCTTTGCGGTGTGAGCTGTGGCCACCACGGTAGTTGAGTCGCTGGGAGTGGGCGATGGCAAAACCCGAGACAGAGCGAGGGGGGAGGGGGCCGCCGAAGTGGGTGCCGGGCATGAGGTTGTGGCCGCTGCGAGGAGGACGAGTGTTTGAGCTTATGGCGCGGGAGGCTTGCCAGTCGCGAGGGCCGGTGGGGGTGGGGGAGGCGGAGGAGTCGGTGACGGATGTATAGGGGGTGGAAGAACGGGAGAGCATCTCCAAGGCCATAGCCTTTTCTTCAGGGTCTTTGCGGACTTGCATCCAGAGGTGGCGTTTGCCGGCGATTTGTTCTTGGAGGGCCTACGTATTTGTTAGTCGTCTGCCGGCACCAATGTTCTCGAGTAATCACATACCTTGATAACCCTCTCATCCTTGTCCTTCTCGGCCTTCATGTCGGCCTCGAACTTCAGCATCCTTGTCCGCTCAGCCCTGATCTCAGCACGCTCAGCTTCAAGCTGCGCACGAGTCCCATCATAATCCATAGTCTGCGACGAGTACATCGTGCGCAGGCTCTCGCACTCGTCACTTTTCCTATCGAGGCCTGTCGCCAAGGACTCGGCAGCGCTGGAAATGGTTGTCAAGTGCTTGAGAACCTGGGTAATGTCGACGTCAAAACCCTCGCGGAATTCGGAAGGGACGTGTTCAGAGCTGTCGACAGCGTGTTTGAGTCCCCAGAGCCGACGGTTGGCATCAGCGGCGTGTTTGCGGATGTCCTGCTGAGTGTTAGTTGATGCTCAATGCGAGGGAGAGGTGAGAAGGGATTTACTGAAATCGCAGGGTGGTCTCCACTGCGAATGAGTTCCATGGAACTCAAACCCTGCGACAGATGCTGCACCTTATTAGGCGGCGTCACCTGGTTATCAGGTATCTGATACCGCTGAGGCGGACGTGATGGTCCCGAAGGATGGTGCGAAGCTCCAGGCTGGAAGCTGTTGAAAGGTTGAAGCTGACCATGACCATTGCCAACATACGTGCTGCTGCTAGAGCGCGAATGTGACGAATGCATGGAGACAGCCGAGGCCATCGACGAGTGTCGCGAGTGGCCGTTGACGCGGGCGCCTCCTGACTGCCTCTCGCTTCCGCTGGGCTCGCTAGGAAACGTGTCCGTATCGGGAGTTTCGGTCTTGTAGCTCTTAGTATCAGACCTCCATTGTTGGTTTCCCCTTGACGGGGGGGAGAAAAGCGCAAGGCGAGCGCCGCCGGCGTCAGACGAGCCGTCGCTGGAGAAGCTTCCGCGACCCATGGTGATGTGAGCGCGATGTGAGCGCAGTTAGAGTTAGGTCAAGGATGGGTGGGAAAATACTGAGGTCGGTAAGGAGGATGTGTGGTTAACGCGAGGGGATGGCTGTGGGTGTGGGAAATACTTTCGCAGACAGCGAAGAGGAAGTTGTCAAGGAAGACGTTTGAAGAGTATGGTTAGCAGCGCACAATCAAGTTGACTCCTAAAGTTCGAGATCCAGGCGCAGGAGGAGGTCTGGCGATGGATACTCGAAAAGAAAAGAGAGTGGGAGTAGAAAGTTGGAGAAAGGAAGAAGTGCGCAGGGCCGGCGAGGATTTAAATGCTGCAGAACCCTCCCGAATTTTTGGGGTTCGTGGGGGTTGTCGGGGAAACGGAGTAGACGTAGAATTAAGGTTTCTGTGACCCGTGACCAAAAGTGAAGGGAGAAGGACGGAGCCAAAAGTTCAGACGAGTGTCCTCCGGATGTTCGCGGCGTTTGTCTCAAGGTGCTGGCTCCAGGTCCGTCGTGGACTGGAAGGAGATGGGATACTTGTGACCTCTGTTACCGCAGTAACCGGGAAGATGGGACCTGAAAGCAGCCGTTGATGGGCAGGAGAATCTTCCTCGGTGTCCTGAACTCTGGGAGTAGATGATGACTGGCGTTTGCAAGCCGATGCTTAAACTGGGTCTGACGAGATCAGACGAGCTGTCATCTGAAGTTGAGGTGGTCACACGAGTTTGAATTTGACAGTGAAGATCCACAGATACTTCTACTCTCCCGGTTGCTGAGGCAATGAGGAAGCAGTCCAGTCCCTGATTGGATCTGTTGAAAGCCCGTGGTTACTTCCCTGTGTCGAAAGCCGCAGTCGTTTCTAGAACAAGACGGCTCGACCTTGGACAGTGTTCTGTGAAGTGTCAGTCTAATTTGAGCAGATGGTATGAAGTTGGTTGCCACTTCAACTGCTGCTCACGCCTGTGAATGCGGACATATGCTCATGCGAACAATTCAAGGTTAGGAGACGGCAGTTGTGTGGAGTACCGGTCTTTCCAATATGGAAACGTCCGTTAAAATTGAGTACGCTGCGTACGCGACACCGCTCACCTCACGATGAAGTGCCGCTCGCAGTGACAACTCCCAGGGGACTCTGGTGGTAGCAGCGGGAAGAGATGGCCCGGAGAGGATTTTTTGTCAGAAGATCAACGCTATATAGTGACCAGCGCTGAAATATCCGAAAGCTGGAGAGGTATTTGTCTCGCTCTGACCGGGTATCCGGAGAAGAAAGTGATGGCAAGCTGAAGCTATTTGCGTCCAGTTTTCCTCCCAAAGGCATTTTGGTAGCTGCAACCAAGGCTGGATCACGCAGACATACAGCAGTAAGAAGGAGTTGTGATCAAACCACCGAGCACACATTTACCACTTGCTCTTGGCAGACCGACGACCAGACGAAAGGAGAGAGATGGATTCACACTAGTTGACAACGATTGTTTGCACTTGTTGCCCGGGCACCCACTCCATCTGAACCTTCGTTTCCTGTGTGACTGTGGCTAGAAGCATCCGTCGACCGTTTCGTCCGTCTTCTGGTGGAAGATATGAGACGAGACAGTTTGACCGAAGTCAATTAATTCATTGACATCGCTGGACAGAAACGACGGTGATGTGCAAACAGGTTTGTGAGAGTGAAGTGGCAAGTTGTTGACACTGGCAACGAAACCTGCGCTTGCGGCTTTTGTAACGACGTCTAGATTGTTACACTTTGCAGGCGGAGACTGTGTCGGACTGTGGAAGGAGGTGATGCTTCTCGTTGGGGTGGATGACTGTCATCCGTGAACTGTTAACGAAAGTATCCAGTATGGCTTCAGTAACCGGTAGTGAACAGAGCTGTAGCAGAGGTTGGCATAAATAAGTTTGAGAGATACTGGGCGTTTGCCAATCGCCAGATATTGCACTTGCAGGCGATTTCAGTAGGTGCTGATGCTGAAGATACTTCCAGCTTCACTACCGCTCTGTCAAAAGGAGTCTAAGAGGCCTCAGCCCGCTAACATCGATGACCAGCTGCTATAGTCCCCATCTCACAGGAGTCGAGGAATACTGGGGTTGATCTGAAAAATAGCATGGCATGTCCATTGCTCTTCTGATTGAGACGAGGAAGTGGTGAACACAGAGGGAGAGGTTGGTTGGCAAAGTGAACAGGTTCTCTTCCATCAGTGAGACTTGTGCTACACTCGTAGTGTAGTGTAGAATTTGAATAAGAAAGGGACAGGACATCGACCACTATCACTGCGGTACGAAACGATCTGCATCCAAGACTCGGGGATTCATTGAAACCGAGGTAATATCAGCTCTCAGTTGATTATACCAGTCACTGCATCAAGTCAGGTATCTCATCACATTTGCGCCCCGACCGGAAAGTAGGGGTCTGGGCATACCTTCACAGAGTCGTAATGATCAACAATCACATAAGCATGGGAGATGATGAAGCTTAAATCACCCGTCTTATTTTTTTTTCCCCCAAATCTAATACAATTTCGCTAAATGACGAACGACATAAATGCATCTAAGAAACAAGGTCATTGCATCGAAGAAACGCCACCGGACGTTATAGGATAAGTCGAGCTCTGAAGGGAGAGGTTGATACCTTTTCGTGATGCACGGCGTCAGTGCATAGAATAAGTCTCCCGTGGCTCGACTGCGTTGCAAGCGCATTATGGTGAGAATCTCGCCGTCACTATGGTCTCGCCTTCTCCACGGACGACAAAGTCTCCCGTTGTCTCTTCTGGTACAAGACAGAAATCAGTATTCGGTCGCTTAACCGCTATGTGGGAAGAGCTGCTTTGCAGATGAAGAAGCAGTAGGGCAAACCCCCGGTCCACCCAGTTCGCTTCTTCGGTCTCGAAAAAAAAATGGCAGTGAGAAGAGAGCAGCGGGGACGATTGTCTGTCATTGCATCTTCATCAGCGAGGGATCAATGGTCCTTGCGAAGACCGGTTGTGGTGTAGTGTGCCGTGAAACCTTGAGAGAGCATCTTCAAACTTGAATGCTGGGTGTTGTCCATCACTGGTTGCGCTAGACGTTGTATGGCTGGATGGATATATAGCAGGACAATTTGCTCGCTCGACGGCATGAAAGACAACAGGGGATCCTAGAGATAAGTGACCGTCGCTCCCTCGTGGGGCTGTCGAGACTCTGCAATCATGTTAGCCCCATGCTGGAATTTGGATGAAAAGTCGGAGAAGCTTACAGTGAGAATGCCTAGGAAACGCAGTTAAAGTCGTGATTAGCGTCTTAGATCGCCTTTGAGCGAGAGAACAAACTGCTGTAGACCGCGTCCACAACAGGTGCAGCGGTAATCATTCTCCCACCGAAATACCGGCCGTTCAAGCCCTTGATGGCGTTTTCTCCTCCCTGGACCTTATCGAACTTGAGGTAGATGTCGCCGGCCGAGTTGGGATCCAGAGAAATGTGAACGACGTGGCCATACTTGGCCTCGGCCTCTTCGCGGACATCGTCCTCGAGCTCCTTGATCCAGTTCTCACCCTCTTCCCTGTTAAACGGTTAGCATCCAATGAGACCCAAGGGACAAGGGATTGACGTACTCAGCAGGGTCAAACATGTTGTGGAGAACAACGCATCGGCTGGCCATGTTCACGTTGACAGGCAGCGGCTTGGTCTCCGTCTTGGGCTTGAGAATCTGTCGCTCAGGAATGACGCTAGCGGGGGGCTCGTCAGTTCGTGCCAACTTCCTCATGAGGGCATCACGACTATAGTTGTTGAAGTTGACACCAGCAACGTCGGTGTCGTCGAGGGCACTGGCACCGGTGCCCTTTTCGTTGTCGCGTGCGCCAGCGCGATCAAAGTTGGAGGTAGTGGGGCCACGTCCGCCGGCGCCCGAGAAAGCAGATCCCTGGAATTGTTGATGATGATTCTGGCCTTGGAACCTCTGCAGGAGATTGGCAGTGGACTCTGGGGTGAACTTATCGTTTCCAAGTCCCACACGAATCGGGCGACCAGCGAGGTCGAACCCGTTCATCTTTTCGAGGGCCTCTCTGGCCTGACCAGCGTCACGGAACCTAGCGGGGTGGGTTAGCAAACGGTGTGTCTTGGGAAGAACGGAGAGATGTGATGGACATACTGTACAAATCCGTAACCACGGCTCCTGCCGTTGTCATCCTTCTGGAGCTGTACAAACTCGAGCTCACCAAAGGGCTCAAACACATTCTGCAAATCTTGCTCCGTAATGCTAAAATGGATGTTACCCACGTAAAGTCGGTGGAAGGGGATCGAGTTGGGGTGGTGTCCAGAGGTCTCTGTGGTGCGCACTTGGCGGTTCTTCTCAGCCTCGGTAAGCTGGACGATGACAGGAATACCTAGGAGTTTCTGGCCAGTGAGCTGTAGAGCGGCTTGGACGGAGTCTTCGTTCTTGAATTCAACATAACCAACGCTGCCAATGTCAACTTTGTTAGCCTACGTCTCTTTGTATGCGGGAAAAGAGGGACTGCGGTGTAACCTACCCCTTGGAGCGATTGCTGACCCTGTCCTTCACAATCTGGGCCTCGGCAACAGGGCCGACTTTTTCGAAAAACTCCTTAAGTTCGCGAGTGCGCAGACGGGCAGCCAACTGCTGCACGAACACGGTGCGACGATCACGCTCGTCCTCGGTCAGGGGCTGAGGGGTACCATCCCGGGCCCTTGGGGTGTTTCTGCCGCTGCGGCGGTCGTCGTCACGTCGACGGTAGCTGTCACCGCGGTCGCGGCGATCGTCGCCCCGGGGCCGGTAGTAGCGGTTCGGGGAACGAGATCGGGAGCGGCCTCGGCGGCCTCGGTAGTAGTCTCCATCTCTGTGACGGCGTGAGTGTCTGCCAGAATCACGGCTCCGGCTCCGACGCCTACTTCGGTGACTTCCGGCATCACTGCGGGGGGTGTCTCTACCAGCCTCACTCGACGAGTTGCGAAGGCGACCCGAACTACGGTCACGATATCTCCTGCCACGGTCCCTGCTGCTATCTCGGCCCCGGTCACGGTCTCGCTCGCGCTCTTTATCGCGGTCACTGTCACGGTCGCGGCGTTCGGATTTGGAACCATTCTGGTCAGCGCCGCCGTTGGTGGTAGGAGGGTCGACATCCATCTGCTGCTCCTTGCTAGAGGCAGTGGAATCGAGGAGGGCCTCGACGTCTAAGCCCGACATTTTGTGGGAAAGTGTGGTGTGATTTGCTCTGTCTAGATCGCGGTATTCAATTCGCTTTGCCGTCGAGAGTTAGGTAATACACTTGGAACGATTTCAGACAAGCGCGCTCTGTGACTAGAGCAACCAGATGCGGCGGCGTGGGCTCAGGTTGGAGGTGGTAGAGGAATTGTCAAGTTGGACATTGGGAGGCGCAGTTTCCGGTCTGGCAATAAAATGGATTGAACCGAAATGGCAGCCTCAAGGGGGTCTGGGCGGCGCTGGGCCGGCGAACTTCAGGCTGTGGCGGCCCATCATTGGCTAGCCGGCGGCAGGTTCTATGATGGACACGTGACCTCCGCTCGCAGAAACTTGTTCGATGCCAAGAAATTGCATTGACCGCCTTTGCCCAGGTTGGGCCCAGCTACAGTAAATGACTGGAAAGTGTGCTGTGTCATAGTGAAGCTCGATAAGTTTCCTGTAGCGATAAGTCCAGCTAACATAGTGCACAATCTCAACCCAACTACCCCTGAACCTGCCAACAGCAATGTGTATGCTTCAACTATCAACAATTCATGACAGACACTGCTTCGAATAGCATATCTTCAGTGACGTTACTTCCAAGTCATTCATATTAACATTAGGGGGTATTGACCAACGACCAAAAAGAAGCAACATATACCCATGATGATTCCCCCTTGCTGCCACCGCAGTCCAGTCCAGCCAAACCCAACAGCTAGACGCCCTATCCCCTTTGCCTACCAACCGGCCGACCAGCCCAAACCGAAGCAAAAACCCCTTCCCATTGACTTTTGTCTGTGTTTCCCCAGCTGCCCAACCCGTGATATGAGATATCCTGCCCACCCGAGCCTACGTACGGCGTCAATACTTCATGAATCCTATTCTATGTACATACTCTGTTTTCCCTTCTTTCTTTCATTACAAAATGGTTGTTTCAAATAAGTATGTACTCCAACGACGCCTTGCAAAGGTCTAGTCGGGCTGTGTGTGTGAAGAAGAGAGTTCTATATCCGAACCAAGTCCACCAAGAAGCGGCACTTAGTTCGTCTTGGGGTTGTACACAAGCTCGGTACCAAAGATCTTGTCCCAGAAGGCGCTGGTGACGCCAAAGCCGTTCTCGTAGTCGAGAAAGTGGTGGGCAAGGTGGTACTTCTTGAGCTCCTTGTAGTAGGCGGGCAAGTTCTGGTGGTGGAGGAAGTAGTGGGTCATGTCGTAAAGGGTGTAGCCAAAGACACCACCGCAGAAGGCGGCCGTGGCGGCGTACCAGTTGTAGAACAGGATGGCGTGGGCAAACTTCCAGAAGGGAGCGGCCAGGACGACAAAGAGGGTGGGCGGCATAACGAGGCGGTACCTGTCCATGGGCAGGTAGTGGTGGATGCCGTGAAGGAGGAAGTGCGCGGTGATGCCGACGCGGTTGTCAGGGAGGTAGCTAGAAAGAAACGGGTTAGTGCGTGTTCAAGTGCCGCGCAAAGGGTCTGCAAATACTCACTAATCAAGGTGGAACAGGAAACGATGCAGAATGTACTCGATCAAAGTCCAGAAAGCGAGGCCAAATCCGAAATAGCCAGCCACGGGAGCGACACTGCCAAAGCCCTGGAATGCGACCGAGACACCGTACGAAATGGGCGGCCACCAGACTAGAGGGATCAACCACCACGGCGTTTTGGACAGAGGCTCAAGGAAGTTGCCAAACAAAGGCGCCGACTCTCCTCCCTTGTAGTGGCGCGGACGGTGGACCTGGTCGAGGTAGAACTCCTTGGAGAAACCACCGTTCCAGATCTGCATGAACAGCGGCTTGTTCAAGTCAAGGAACTTGTGTGTCTTGTAATCGGCGTTGTAGTCGGTGTCCTTGCTGAGGTCCTCTTCGCAGGACATACCCGTCCGAGGATGAACCCATTGCTCTTCTGTTCCGTTCTCGCCGTCCTTCGCCGTTCCGTTCGCCGCAGCGCCGTTTCCTGATGCGAGATATCCCACCAGCGACTCGTCGAGGACTTCGTATGCGGCTTCGGAGTGAGTATGCGATGCCTCATCCTTGAGGATAGCGCCAATGTCCTTGCCGGCCCAGTCGAGGACGAGATCAGCACCGCCGGGGTGGGAGTCGAGGAAGTCGGTCACGTCGTAGACATTCCTGCCAACGGTGACATAGCAAGACTTTGCCGAGTTGTGCGACTCGACCTCGTCGATGGTGAGGGTGGGGAGAGTGCGGTCCGGCATGGTTGCTGTATTGTGGTCGCAGGATGCAATGCTCTCTGCAGAGTGAGGTCGGCGTCTCGCGAGTGCTGGGATGTTTTGGGTATGTGATTCTCTCGCTTCTCGCTTATAACTTTTTTGGGCGGTGAAAGAACCAAAACAGTCAAAAAGACGACGGGGGATACGGGCTGCCTCGCAACAAGGATATCAAAGAGCTTATAAAAGGAGGGAATGAAGCCTCAAATACCAGACTGGAGCATTAGAATAGTAATAGAGTGAAACAATGTAGGTAGGTTGGTAGGGAAAAAAGGGGTCTTATTCTGATGTTATGGGATAGGATCTGCGGGAAGGGACGGGAACGGAAGTCGGGCGTGGTTTGCGTGTACCTGAAGAACGGACGACTTTTCTGGGCCCGGACTTGCTGTAGCCGTCAGGGGTTCCCAAGTTCCCGGGGGCGCGCGACAGCTGTCACTTGCTGGAGTCGCTGTGGTCCCCCGTCCACGGAATGCGCGTAAAACCCGTCAGCAGAGGGTGGCGTTATCCGATGGTACCGATGGGTTCGCCAAGACGGCGCAGGGCGAAGAAATCGAACTCTTTTTTTTTTTTTTCTTGGTCCCCGGTCTGAAGAGAGAACTCCAATCTTGATCGGCGTTGTTTTCGCTGGATCTTGCCTCTTGCCTGGATCTCTCTGGAACCGCACGTATAACCCTGGAATCTACACAATGATAACCCTGACGATGGATTGGTTCCGTCCGTCCTATAAACTGCAGTAGAAGGTAACCGCGTTGTGATGTCCCAACTTCAGTTCGGTTGTCGGTCGGGAGCGGTGCCTGCCGATTGCCAGGTCCCTTTGAAAATGTGGAGGATTTTGGCGGGGCAAGGCTCGGTGCAGTGGTGAGCAAAGTGGGTACGAGATTAAGTGCGGGACGGGACTTGTGCCCGGCCAATTTTATGCTTGTTCTTGTCGGAGTGTTTCCCGTCCTTTTGTTGCTTCATGTGACAGTGTTGGATGATGTCCAATGGGATTGATATCGCAAAGTCATTTGAAACTTGCAAATGATGAACAACTACATGCCTCATAAACTAGTTTATGGGCCGGCTATAGTACTGAACACCGAGCACCGTGCACAACTCACCTCTAGTGTACCAACCCATGACGGGAACTTCGTTGGAGATGGGACGGCGGGATCGTGGATGGCTCCGCTCCAAAAGAACTCTTGGGAGATGAGGTGCGCCGAGACCGTAGAGGTCAAGCAACATCTTTGGCACGCCTTTGAGCCTTTCCAGACGGATGGGAAAGAACTTGGCAGTATTGGACTGCGGGCGAGCAATTTAATCGAGTCGTTCACAAAGAGAGGAGAGCACCTGCCTTGGCTTCCCGTCACTGCAGTGTTCAGTGCACTCAGTTGAGATTTGGTGGGAGTTCAAAATCTGACGTCAAGGGTTCTGCTTGGCGCACCTCGTTGATCAAGCTCAGCTCTCTTCAGGTTTGCAGCTTTGCCCGTTCCTTCCCCATCCCCATCCTCTTTTTACAAAATCCTTCGTAATCTGCCCACTGGACAGCTTCTTTCAACTTCAGGCGGCTTGTCTTACTCTGTCTTCAAGTTTCCTCCAATTGTACTTCTCCAAAGACGTCCGCGAGACACACCTTCTGTGCGCGCAGAGATAGGTTGTAGCTGAGTCACGCGCATGTTTTTCGAATACTGCGCCTAGCTACTAGACCTGGTTCTACATCTCATCTCCCTTGGCAAATGCTGGATGATATCTTGACCTCTCTCATCTCAAAACTGACCCAAAACTTCATCCATTTGCGCGCGAATACACAAAGAAAACACGCGAAGCCACACGTTTTGAGTCGCACACAATGACGGGTATCAGGATAGGCTGGGGCAGCGTGTTGCTGGTCCTAGCTCTGGTCCTGGTTGTTCTTCCAGACAAGGCCGCAGCCTTCGGTGCTGGTAACATTCCCTCCATCGCCCAGGTCGAGGGCCACAACTGGAGACATGGCGATATCGAAGACGTTCTCAAGACTCTGGCCTTCATCAACGGCAAAAAGTGGACCACTATGATGGTCGGGCGCACCTACTTTGGTAACTGGCTCCGAGACTACTCCCAGGCTATCGATGTCGGCAGCTTGAAGGGAGTTAATGCGGCTACCATTCGCATCATTGCAAGTCTTTCGTCCCATCTTCGCCGTGCCCTCGTTTCATCCCATCCACTAACTCTTGTCACTAGGTTTGGGTTCTTTCTTTCCTGGCTCATGGATACGCTACCGAAGAGTTCGAGGTAACCGAGGAGCGCCTGGGCGTTTACAGACCCGAGGAACATATCGACAACCCTCTTGGCTACGCTGACGGAAAGGATGCCCGCGAGTACGACCCAAGACTACGAGGACCAGTACACCCCGCAGAACTCGAGATCGATCCAAATACCGGTATGAAGAATTATATCGCCAACGAAGAACTGGCCCATCATCAAGGCTGGAACACCACAAGTGCCGGCTATATCCGTTTCAGCTTGCAGCGTTGCATCCATTACGGTCGTCTGTATACCAGTGGCTCTCATGGCAGAGGCAAGGAGTCTGACTTGTGCGAGGCCTTGAGGTGCTTGGGACAGGCCCTTCATACCCTGGAGGACTTTCCTGCCCACAGTAACTACTGCGAATTGGTCCTAATCGATATGGAAGAAAGGCGGGGCCAGCATAGTCCAGTCTTTCCCCACGTTGGCACTGAAACTAAACTCAAACTCGAGAATGGACAGTTCAGGCGCGTAAGGCCTGGAGAAGGATACGATTCTAGGGCGAAGTACGCTTGGCCCCTGGTCACGGGCACTTTTGGAGGAGTCGACTTCTTGCACTCCGTGTTGGGTGAGGCCAATGATCACTTCACCCAGTCCGAGGTTGACGAAATGAACGATGCCCTCCTGACCGCTGAACAACTGACCAAGGGATCCGGTGGCGGTTCTTCGCGCGATCGCGGTCTCAGCCTCTTTGGCTTGAACTTGGGCGGTTCATCTAGCAACGATGGAGACTTTATCTCCCTCGTTTCCAAGCTTCCGGGTGTCGGTGACGGCTATGCCAGCACAGCCCGTAGCCTGAAGGCTGCCTCTGAAGCCCAAGAACAGGAGAACAGCAGATCTGCTGGCAACGTCAACGTTGTTCCTGGCATGAGCCCCAACTTCGACCCCGTCAAGACTGCCGCCAAGATCTACCCAATCCTCGAGTTTCGTGACAAGATTGTCAGGTCCATCAACAACATGATCGAAAAGATTCCTGGTTTGGAGAGTCTGCTGGAGAAGATCAGCGAGACTTTGACGGCTTTCATCCTTGGCTTGCTGGCTCCTTTCCTGCGCCCCATTATCAACCAGGTTACTCAAGTGTTGAAGGAGGGCTCGTCTGGTCTCATTGCGACCAGCGCGAAGCAGCAGCTCGAGCCTTGGAACAACCCTGAATGCGACAACCCCACCCACTCTATGCTTTCCAAGGATCACTTTACCAACATCTTAAACTCCTGCGCCGGTCGCGTCGCCGCCAACATTGTTCAATACGTAGTTCCGTAGGTCTCCACCTTTTCCCTGCTTGATCTTCGAACCATGCTAACTCCAACGACAGCCGGGTTGTTTACGCCTGGGAAAATCCCGGTGTGCCCGACAGCGAGGTCATCGCCGACGTCCTCCAGGTTTTCCACCATCCTGCCAATTACAAGCAAGAGGTCGAGATTCAGCGCACGATGTACGACACCGTTGTGCAGTGGTCCCGGGAGACTCATCATAACTACAGGAAGCTTCTCGCGTCCGAGTCCGTCAAGGAAGGCCTCAACCATGTCCTGAACGGTCAACCTATGAACCGCGGTCCCGGTGGTGGCCACACCTCATGCGGCGCTGATGGTGGCCACGGCAAGGTTGCTGGCTCCCTCTGGAGCAAGATCCAATCCCGTGATCTGGACACTTCTGCCCCTAGCGGCGGCGTAGGTGGCGGTAGGCCCTCCTCCTCCACCGGCCACAAGTATGGCTACTCTGCCTCCTCTTCTCACCACGAGGTTCCCACCCACGGCGAGGCAGCCTCTTACTTCTCCTCCGCCGACCCACGCCATGCCTCTCCGCCAACAGATCGCTACTACGGCAGCCGCCCCTCTTCCTCCGGGTACGGATCCTCCGTTCATGGTTCCGGCCGCCCCTCACCCGCCCCTGCGTCCTTTGGGTACCACCACGGCGGTCACCAAGCTTATGAGGGCAGCAGCAGCAGCTATCCTTCGCAGCCGTCATATGGTGGCTCTTCCGGCCCATCGTACAGCGGCTCTTCTGGACCATCGTACGGCGGGTTTTCCCAACCCAGCTATGGTTCCCAACCTTCTTACTCATCTCAACCCTCCTACGGCGCGCACCCCTCCCAGCCACCCTACGGCTCTCAACCCCATTACGGCGGCCCCTCTCATGGCTCCTACAGCGGTGGGCGTCCCCCCTCTCCTCCTCGTCCCTCCGGTTACGGTGGCGGATACGCTGGTTACTCCGCCGGTCCCCCTCCTAGCCACGGTGGCTACGGTGGCTACGGTGGAGGTCCCTCTGGTGGTGCTCCCTACCCCCATGGCGGTCCAGTAGGCGGTGGTGGCTCGGCGCCTTATCCCCATGGTGGAAGGGCTGATGCGTACGAGAGGAATTATGATCAGCATTATGAGAGGGATGAGAGACGTGGTGATAGGGGTAGCAGGAGGAGGAGAGGAAGCCATGGAAGCAGGAGTAGCAGCGAGGAGCGAGATGGAAGAGGTTACCCTGGGCAGGGGTCTAGGGGAAGTGGTCATCATGGCGGTGGAGGAGGGTACGGAGGGGGATATGGTGGTGGATATGGAGGTGGTGGAGGATACGGCGGCGGGTATGGCGGTAGGGACGAGCATCGGAGGTATTGAGCTTGGTGAAGTGATGATTTGAAAGCGGAGATGGATGCCGGAATGATTTTGGATAATGAACGAATGGTTACGGGTTCTATGAGTACACTTGATTCGCGGTGGGTGAGGTTGGTACTTTTTGTCTTTCCTCTCGGTATGATACCATTCCCTTTCGTCAATAGTTTTATCTTATAGTCATAGAAATATGTTTGACTTATCCAACAGAGTGTGCAGTGACTGTAAATATGGAACATTAATGATATCTAACCCAGTCTGTCTCCCTGTTCAAAACGGCTATCTAGGGCGCAGAAAGATCTTGGTGTCGGCCGAACCTATTCCCTCTTCTTCATCAGTGAAATCCGACCAGTTTGTAGATTCCCGTCAACCCGAGCCTTTCTTGAAGCCGGTAATCAGCAGCAGATGCCCGAGTGAAGAGCCGTGAACCTCATGATGATGATGAGCGTACAACTCAAGCGCTTCGGAGCCTGGCTGTGTAGGTAGTACTGGCGCTTAAGAATGTAACATCATTGGCCTCCTCCCCCTTCCCCCTGGCGAACATGAAGTTGCTTTGCGTGTTACTTCGTTTCATCCATCCATGATATCCATCCATTCATTCATGGCGACTCGCGGGGAATAAGTCTGCTGCACAGCAGTTTCAACATGTTGACCTTTTCAAATCTTTCACACTCTCTCCTCTCATTTTTCTTAATTTCTGTTTTCCTCCTCTGTGAACCATTACTTCCACTTGTTCTGTTTGTTGTCCTGGACATCGAAAGCCCGCTTCCCATTTTCCCTTAAGGTCCGAGATATATTGTACCTATCTACCTACCTGCTTACCTTACCTTCATTTCTTCACGCTGTTCGGATAGCATACAAATTCCAGCAGAGCATAGCATAGCATGACATAGCCACCTAAAGGTACCTAGGTAGGTAGGTAAATATGCCCCCCAAGCTATGCTCCATCTGCGCCATCGTCCCCCACTGGCTTGCCTCTCTGGACTGGGACGATTACTCGTACCTGAACGATACGACCATCACGCTTCGGTCGTGGAGGGGAATGCAAGTGCAGGCTGAGGCTGCGGTAGCAGAGAAGAAGAAAAGCAGGGGGATTTATGGATGTGGTAGTAGAAATGGAGAAGAAGAAGACCAAGAAGATGGCGAAGGAGGATGCGACCTCTGCTTCATGATCGTCCACTACAGCTACCGCGAGTCCCGCTGCAAGTTTACCTCTATGTTCCCTGCTGCTCGATCAAGACCGTATTACCTGCCGCCGGAGATGGATCCGAGAGAACATAAAGATGATGAGAGGTATCAAGATGTTCCGTTGGTGTTTGGGAGGGAGGCGACGAAGCAGGGAAGGTGTTGGGAGTATAGGATGGTTTGTTTGAGTAATCGGTCAGTTTGGGGGGCGGAGGTGGTGAAGGTGCCGGGGAATTGGCGTAAGTTTTCTTTTTTCCCCTCTCTCTCTTCTCTGTTCTTGTGTGTTTCGTGCTGGATTTGGGGTGCTTTATGGGAAGGACGTTCATGCTTACATTTATGTCTTTGGTAATTTGATGTAGGGCCAAAGTATTTGCCGCCTATGGCGTACAATGATCAGAATCCTGAAAATAACGTCTTGCTCTTGAAGGATTGGCTAGAAAACTGTCGACGGAACCATAAGCGATGCCGCGAGATCAAGAAAACCACAACGGATACGGGCACCGACTTTTTGCCAACTAGATTGCTTGATGTTCAAGCATTCGGAACGGGTAGTGAGCCGTCATCCCATCTTGGGGACGACGTCAGGCTCGTCTGCTTGAGTCCACCGACCATGGTCTCAAAATCGGCAGATACAATCAAGTCCCCGCAACCCTACTTTACACTAAGTCACTGTTGGGGACCACCGGAAAAGCGCCCAACGACAACAACCAAGGCCAACCTATCCCAGCGCATGGAAAGGATTCCCTTCCTTGAGCTGCCCCGGACCTTTCAAGACGCAATCGAAATGACCCGCAAACTAGGCCACCGATACCTCTGGATCGACTCCCTTTGCATCATCCAAGACGACGAACAAGACTGGGCGCGCGAAGCCAGTTTGATGGCCAAGGTCTACTCCCACGCATCCTGTACGCTCTCCGCGCTGAGCTCCCGCGACAGCAGCGGAGGATTACACTTGGAACCACTAGACGAGGACCGTTCCTATATGGATCTCAGTATCACCCCCTCACCTGCTGAACAACCAAGTACCGAAAGCGGGGACACGGAGAACAACCGCGCTTTCACCTCTCCCCGATTTCGATTACTCTACTACTCCAACGAAGACTGGCACACCCTCTACAACGGGACCAACCGGACAATGCACATGGGAGGGCCCAGCGACGACATCTCGCCGCTCCGCTCTCGGGCATGGACGCTCCAGGAGCGCGAACTCTCGCGGCGCATCATCCATTTCGCCAGGAAACAGGTACTCTGGGAGTGCGCGGAGCTGAAAGCCACTGCGCAGCGGCCGTGGCATGACCACTCGTCTTCGTACTACTATGCTGGGCTGGACTCACTACCACAACATGAATGGAAGGAGGAGTGGTCGGAGATAGAGGTAGAAAGTATTCAAAGTCTAAGCCTTCCAGTTCAAGACGGCGATGATTTGGTCCAAGCTGCTGCTGCTGCTGCTGCCAATGGCACTACTTTGACAGTTTCCTCTCTGCTCAAAGCCTACACAAGCGAGCGCGAGTGGTGGGCAGTGGTGTTCGATTACAGCCAGCGGTCATTAACCAAAGACACGGACAAGCTGGCCGCCCTGTCTGGGATGGCGCAGTTTTACCAGCGAAACCACTTCCCTTGTGCGCGGTACGTGGCTGGGCTATGGAGCTCTCGGCTGAAGGAAGAGCTGTTCTGGGAGGTTGAAGATAAATCGAGGGCGACAAGACCGGCGCCGGCGCCGGCGGATATTTATGTCGCGCCCAGCTGGTCGTGGGCGTCTGTCAAGGGAGGTGTGATAAGTTTCAAACCGAAAATTCCTGTCAGGAGGTTGAGGGAAATGAGGAAGAAGCAGATGCTAATGATGGCTGGGACATGGAGGGATGCAGCTGATACACGGCCTGAGGAGAAAGACAATACAGATCCACGCAAGGACGGCAAAGATTCACGCAAGGACGGCAAGGATACATGGAAAGACATCAAAGATGCACGCAGAGTCATAACAGATGGATGGCAAGTGGAGGAAATCAACCTATTTCCCAAGTACGACGACCCCTACGGTGCCTTAAAAGGCGCGAATCTGATCATAGGCGGTGCCCGTCTCGTTGAGGTGGAACTGTTCACCGAAACCCTGATCGAGCCAGACCCCGAGTACATGTACGGGTCGCATTATTACTACGGCGGCTTGAAGATCGACGGCCGTTGGGTGGCTAATTATAGCCTCGATGTAGAGGGGGAAGCAGAACGGAGCGGTGGTAGACTTTGGTGTCTGGGTATGGTGGCGCAAAGAGATTACAGTAAACTTCGGAAGCCAGTGATAGGGGGACTTCTTCTCAGAGAGGAGGAGGAGAAGCTTGATGCCGATGGGGATCTTTGTATTTATAGCCGGGTGGGAACGTTTCGCCACATGAGGGTAGAGACTTTTGATGGTGTTGAACCGCGGCGAATCAAGCTAGTATGAATGAGAAAAAGAAAAAGCCGTTGCAAGACTGTAATAGGGTTTCTAACAATTCGAAAAGACATCGGCCAGCGTCCTATTTGGATATTTCTATTCGTGAATTGCCTAAAACTCAAGACCAGAGGCGTAACAAAAACGCTTAAATGCATTGTAGGAGTACACCCAAGGTATAATATCAAAGGTCTCAACTATTTTGTCTAGGACGAGCAAGGTTGATATAGAAATGAAAGATGTTGCTGGGTGTTTGACTTCAGCACTCACCTACCTAGGTAATAATGAATCAGCTTCCCATCGAACCATGAAGTCTTGTATAGGTACCTTCCAACGCTGTGATTATGTGTTTTGTACGACGGAAACGGTGCAACGACATCATGCGAATACCTAACTATATCCTTGAGATACCTAACCGTGTATTTTCCAGACGTTGTCTGTAATTTCATGTACTTCAAGGACCTTTTTGACCGATAAATGCTCGTAACACTCCTTCAGGAAAGTAAAGAGGCGCTCTTGTCTTGAATCATTGTTGTTGTTTTTGGCGATATAATAGGATAGTGGCACAACTTGATCGGGAAAGGCATCATACCGAAGAGATGACATCGTTGCGGTGTGAAGATAACCTGCCTGATGACTGCCTAGGGTAGTTCTAGTATCCTCGGCTCGTCCTCCCAATTAGTACAGGCAGGTATCACGAGCTTCCATGATACGCCGTCGTCTTAAGAAGCACCATCTTGAGAAGCACACCAGTTACAACAAACCACCAGACAAAACATCAGCAACGTCCTTGCACGACGAGCCAGGACTTACAATCACCTCGCCCGCTCAGTGATGTGGATTCAGATCATCGTGTCGTATGAAATCCGAGCAACGACGACACACGCCCAAAGAGCGAAGCTATAGCCAGAGTAACCAGCTTCATCGTGGAATAAAAAACGCAAAAACAGAAACCGCAGAGGACAAAACAACAACAGAAAGAAAAAGGTATGGGGCGGTTGAAGCATGTGAGTGAGATCCAGAAAAATATGAACCAGTTAAAAAGTCAAAAGATGAGGTCCTACCCGGAATCGAACCGGGGTTGCCGGAATGTCCTGAAGGGTAAATCATCAGAATCCGGAGTGATAACCGCTACACTATAGAACCTTTGGAAAGATGGTTCTCGTTGATGTACGCCTACCGAAATGCGTACTTATGTAGGTAGGTTTGTGCACAGGTGAGGCAATTCGGAACTTTCTAGACTAGATGTGTGGGGTTGGTGGGGTTGTGTTCCATTCCCTTGCATAGTTGGTGTGGTGGGAAAAGCCGCATGCTTGCGTGTGTTTCCTTGTTGAGTTGTATATAAAATAATAATTGATAGAAATAAGGGGTAAAAAAGTAAAGTAGGGAGAAAGAGATGTTAGAGCGGTGGCAAAACAGGATGAAGTGGGAGCAAAAAACAAAACTCGAGGTAAACAAGGGACCGAACATGGAAAGTTGAAGTAATAAGGAAGGGGCTAAAAAAAGGCAAAAAGAGAGGTCGTACCCGGAATCGAACCGGGGTTGCCGGAATGTTTCTGATAGGTGAAAGACTCAGAATCCGGAGTGATAACCGCTACACTATACAACCGCTGGTTGTTATTGAGCTAAGCGCCTGGATCTATTCACTATGTACCGCTATCCTTCGTCTACCCTCAATCCAAAAAAAACTTTATGGTAATACACCTAGGAGGTAGACATGATCCTCAACCAACTCTTTCTTGTACGCTTCCATTCTGGTAATATTCCTTTAGTTCATTCTCTCCAAGGTTCTAGTCTTCATCAAATCAGTCAGGTCTTCGGGATCATCACACTGCTACTACGCTGGCAAATGCTAACTACTTTGACTACGACCAATTGAGGGGGCACATGTTTTGATTCCCTATGCTTGCGCGAACAAGAACGCTCACGAGAGTAAATGATGATAGTTTATCTCTGATGAGTGTAAATGTTCTATATTGCATGTTGAACAGACATGCAAGTTTGACTCCAGGTAAATCGTCGCTCAAAGGACCGAGATCAGGTTCTTCACTGTCTTTCTCACTTCGACAACGTTGCACTTTTTCCCAAGTTCAACGATCATATAAATAGAATCGATGTGATATTCGATGCTTCAGCCCCTTTCCCAACACCCACCCACCGTGCTCATGCTATGCATCCCAAACAAACACTTAGAAAACAAAACCATCATTATGTACTTGAACATAAGTCACAAGAAACGAAAACCGAACAACGCTGTCTACAGTACGTTCTATCGCCGAACCATATGGGAAAGAAAAAAACAAAATCACCGCCTTCCCCTCCTGGGATCCAACGCCTCCGCCCTCCTTGCATCCCTAATCTCCTTGGTCCCCAAACTTCCCAACCCGCCTTCCATTCTTCTCTCCCACCCACCCAGTCTCACCACCAGACACGTAGCATTATCGCCATCGGCCGACACCTCGGTCGCATACTCAATGACATTCTTGGCGCCCTCCTCGGGAGTCTTGGCTTCTTTAATCACATCCACCACCTCCTGGTCACTGAGGGTGCCGCTCACGCCGTCGCTCATCAGCACCAAAAACGAGTACTCGGCCGGTTCCATATTGACCCGTATGATCTCGGGCTCTGCAGACACGCCGATGCGTTTGGACTGCATGTCGCCGAATGAGCGGCTGTTGGCCAGGCCGCCGATGCGTTCCTCGCCAAAGGAGTCGGTGATTAGAGACTCGGCGTAGCGCATCAGTCGACGGGTCTCGACGGGGCTGGAGGGGTGGTGGTCGTGCGTCAAGGGACGAGGGAGGCCGGTGGCAGTTTCGCAGAGCAATACGCGGGTGTCGCCGACATGAGCGACGAGCAAGGTGCTGTGTGCCGCCGGGTGCCAGAAGGGTGCCGGAGTGGGAGTGGCGATCAGCGCGATCGAGGCCGTGGAGCCGCCCTTAAAGCGCGCGGGGCCGCCGATGCGGTGCCCGGAAGGCGGGAGGTGCGGTTGACCAAGAACTTCGTCCTTGTTGACGGGGTTGTCGGCGACTTGGAGGTCGTCGGGGTCGGGCTTGCGGGCTTGGGCGGTGATGAAGTCGAGGTCGGCGCGGAGGAAGGCGTAGGTGAGGACGGTTTCGACGGTTACGGGCTTGGTGGAGGGGGCTTCGTCAGTTTGCTTCTGGAGCTTGTTCTTGTTATCGTCCGTGGAGGAGGCGGCATTGGAGCCGGACTGACGGCCTCGATTGGCTGCTCGTTCGGAAAAGTAGCGCGAGTTAAAGCGGCGGAAGTAGCCTCCTACTGTGTTGCGGTACTCGTCCAAGAGGTCTATTTCAAGCTCTTCGGCCTTGGCTGCGTCTGCTACTGCTGGTGTGGGCTCGTCTCCCTCAAGGGGTGGCTCGTGGGAAGCTTCTTCGACGACAGTATTGCCTTTGGTTTCCGGTACGTCGAGCCGGTCCTGGACTTCTTCCGGGCTCTTCATGTCGATCCGATTGAGTGCATCTCTGCTGCTCCTGGGCGCATTTCCAAACGTTTCCGTTGGGGTACTCAAGCTGTCCAGGCTTGTTGTGCCTTGTCTTTGCAAACTACTCTGCAGACCAAAGTCCAATGCTGCCTGTTCGATGTAGCCATGTAGCTCGTCCCTTAGGAACTCGCTACACTCGGAGCCGCCGTGGCCGTCAAAGACGGCAAAGTAGAAGATTTGGGGGTCTCCAAACGCGCTATTTGCCGTGGCGTTCTCATTAAGAGACCGCAACTGGCTGCGAACGAGGCTCATGGGAGCTCGTTTGGCAAAGGACGGCATGCTGATTGTACCAGCCTGGTTTGTGTCTTCATTGTAGTTACGTTGACCGCGCGAGACAGCCGTGCCAAAATGGTGTTTTGCGCTTCGTAGGGGAATTCGGACGACGGTGAGGTCGCGACTGGGTATGTTGGGAGGTACAGCAGCCGGAGCAGCTCCGGGATCCTGCTTGTGTGGTACCGATGCCGATCGCGGGAGCTTATGGTGGGGATGTTGTAACCGAGAATCGGGATGTAAGGAGGACGACGGCAGATGGGTGACGAAGTAGTTGTGGAACTTGCGCTTCGAGGTTCGGTCGGTGAGGGTATGGGTTCGGAAACGGTCGCAAAGCTCGTCGGCGCTTATTGTCGAGCTGGAGGAGGTTCTCGAGGGTCGTGCGTATGCATGGAGGTAGCGTCTACCGGCAGCTGTGCGCAGGACCCGCGGACCGGGCATCGTTACTCGTCTCATCGTAGGTCGCGTAGCTGTAGGAGGGTGGTGGAAGAAGGTAGAGAGATAGCCCATAAAGGCATCTAGCAGAAGTTCGGTGTCTTGGTGGGCAGCTCTGGGAGCTTTCGTGTGGAAAGAAGCAGGCTCGAGGTGTTGGAGAGCAGATACAAGAGACTGGGTTGGGGGACGACGGCGCACAGCGGCCATTGCCTATCCGATCTAACCTAGGTTGCGATCTGAGGTGACGGCGACGAGGTGTCAAGACACAATATAGGGAAAGGCGGAGGAAAGCAACTTGAGAAAAATCGTATCTGCTCTGGTGAGCATAGTAAAGGGTCAGGTGTAAGGGGGGGATGGATGGGGAGGGGGATGCCAGGGAAAAAAGAGAGAGGAAGCTGGCCGAAGAGGTTGACGTCGATTTCTTGGCAACGACATGGGCCTGAATGACGGGATTGACGCCAAAGTGCACGATGGTGGTCTTGGGTCTTTTACAGTTGGTCGGGGTGGCCTTGTCGTGGGTCAGCTGGAGGCATCCAGTAGCGGTCTCGGCCGCCCTCTGTTCTACCTAATCATTACCGGATATTATCACTCGCTGCTACGGCTACTTCAATTGCTACCTTGGCTGTACCACGTTTCACTCTGGGCAGCTGTGGACAGGAAACAAGCAAACATCTTGAGTGATTGATTGATTTTGAACCTACAGGATCTATAAATACACAGCAAACAACAAACGAGAAACCTGTGGAAAGGGGTTCGTTCTCCTTTCTTGTGATGAACAAGACATGGTTCCAGATCCGATCTCGGAAGACCCCAGATGCCCTGGATTGGACCTGTAAAGTTACTTGTAGTGTACATAGTGACTGCACTAACAATTTCGCCTCCTGCATCACTAGCCGCTTCACAATGAACTGATACAGAATTAAGACTTGACAACAACTCCAAGGATATCCACATTCATGTTTCTCCGGTTGAAGAGCTGGACCTGTGGCGATCTCGTCTCTGTGAATCACAAGTGAGTAAAAATATAAAGCGTCACGGTCGATGAGGTTATGATTCATCTCACAATGTCATGTACTGTCTTGTTTCGTCAGCCGGTTAGCGTGAAGATTTGTGACGCGAACCATTCTGGCTGATCACGTAATCTTCAATATCAGACATCGACAACTGCTTGAAGTGGAAGTGTAGAGTTCGTCAACTCACCTCACCTTCCAGGAAGAACTGTCAAATTGATCAGTCTTAATTGAGTTCCCTTTCAATGGATGTGTGAAGGGTTCAATATAAACGAGACACCACCAGCTGGATGAAAGCCCCTCTCATCATCCATCACTTCATCTCATTCCAAGCCCACCATGTCAACACCCATCAACGGCGTCGGCAGTACCGACCTAGAAATCATCGAAATCGTTCCCAACGGCGACATAATCCTCGACGTAACCTTTGAGACCTCCAAACCCGTCATCCTCGCCGCCAAGAAAGCCTTTGCTGCCTTTTCCTCTCGACCAACTCGGACCAGCAAGGCAACAATACCCGGACAAGGACCCGCAAAGACGCCAGTCAGACCACCAAGACCACCACCCAAGCCCAGAGAAAGAGTTGGTTTCCGCGTTCATCTGTCTGTCCTGAAGGAGCATTCGCCCTACTTTGCCCGTTTGCTCTCAGACACGCGTTTTGCCGAGGCCAAAGCTGTTGAAGCGGCTCTGGCTAAGCTTTCGCTGGAAAACATTAGTCCTGGCGAGGCGGACTGGACGCAGCTCCCACGGGTGAGCATTAGAGAAGATGACGAGGCTACGCAGAGTGCGGAGATGAGGTATATCTTTCATGATTTGCTGTATATACTGCATCATGGGAGGGTACCGCCGCCGGCAGATGAGACATCGGCGGAACCTCCAGCAGAAGTAACACCACCAGAACCCAAGGTAGCCCCAGCAGCAGCAGCACCGACACCAAAACCAGTAGTATCCAAACCGGCAGCAACAACGAAAGAACAAAAACCAGGCCAAAAACTACCAACCAAGACACCAGCCAAAGGAACCCAATCAAACGGCCTCAGAAAGCCTCTAGACAAAACATCACAAAAGGGACAACCAAAGCCGACACTACAAAAGCCAGAAACGCCAGACGAACCAGTCACCACCGAACCAGCACCAACAGCACCCCCCCTGACAATCCCCTACCTAACCACCCTCTCCCTCCTCGCCGACCGTTTCTCCTGCACCCCCTCCCTCTCCCGTCTCCCTTCTTCTTCTTCCCACACCCCCTTAAAATGGCCCGCGACACCCACCCGCCTCACCAAAGACCAAGACGGCCACGCCCTCACTTTTGCGGGTGAAGAACTCTTGCGCCAAAAAATCTTGGTCTCCTGGCTTCTCGACCTCCCACTCAAGTTCCAATCCGCCACTCGCGAATTAATCCTGTACGGATCCCGCCGCTGGACCCTTTCCGCTTCCCCTGAAGATTATTCCGAATCCGACTACACTTCAGACCCTGTCCCCCACCACCCTGAGAAATACACTGGAAATAAATACAAACACAAATACAAAGCAAAATGGTGGTCCCTCCCCGACCTCCTCGAAGACGAACTTTCCTATCGACGCACCTGCCTCCTTTCCGTCTTGGCATCCATCCCCCGCCACTTTTTACGGTTATACATCGTCCGTCCCCCACAGACTCGGTCCATCACTACCTCTTCCGCGGGAATAGGATCAAGCTTCACATCCAACGCCGCCTCGGCCTTACAAGCCGCCGCACAAGGTCGTCAATGCAAACTAGGTTACGAGAGTAGCGCCAGCTGCGATAGTTACCAACTAGGCGAGATGATTCGGTTTCTCTGCACCAAGGGACTTTTTGCCCTTGTAGACTTTAGTCCGCCGAGTTTCGATCGGGCTATTACCCAATATGATGGCGGGGAGAATCCGCTGGCGAAAGTGGATGGACATAACCCGGGTATGGGCGTGGTGTTTGGACCCCCTAAACATTCTCTTTCCTCTGGCGGCAGAGGAGAGAATAATGACCTGGGCGGCATTTCAACAATGGAAATCAACCATTTCGTGGCGATTTTACGACAGTGTCCGAGTTATCAGATTGATCGACATCATACGAACTGCGGATTAAGGACGAGGATGTTGCCGGTTTTGGATTACGTGCAGGCTATGTTGAATAGCGAGGTGGTGCTCGTCAAGAGGGCGGATTGGGAGAAGAGGAGGGAGGAAGTTAGTTGGGTTAGTTTGGTGGAGAGACGGCAGGAGGAAGGGGAAGATGGTGGCAGGGGAGAAAAAGGGAAAAATAGGGTGTTTAGGTTCACTAGAACGCTGGCGGCGGATCCGCGAATGAGATATAATAGCACGCTGGGGACGAGCAAGATGGCCATGGAACTGTTTCTGGCTGATGAGTGGGATTGGACGGCGGAGGAGTATTGAGGACGTTATGTTGTTGGTCTAAGTTGCATCAGTTGGCGTTTAGATGGCGGCATATTGCTTGATCAAAAGTTGTCTTACATAACCAGTGAAATAGATAAAGTATAGAAGCGAGCAAGATGCCATCCGAATGTTACCTCACCGCGGGACTTGTATCTGGTCTAGTGAAGCACAGGGAGGTCACTGATGAGCCATCTCAACTGTCTTAAAAAATCCTTTTTTACCTTCTCCTTGCATCAATATCGGTAACTCCTCTTCATTATCTTCTTCTGTGTTACGCGCGCGGCGGCTTACTGCCTTGCGATACTACTTGATACAGACATCCCCTTCAAGCTCTGCCCTTCTTCCAGCTCAACCTGCCAAAAAGGCTACCCTTCTCACTGCCATCTTCAACCTCGGTCTTCTGTGGGATCAACGGCCATTTCCCCTTCACCTCGCGGTATCTCATGACGAGGAACGACACAATGACAACCAGCCAGTAGATGTCATATCCAATGACGGAGCCGTATGTCGCCGAGTTGGTCCAGCCAAAGATGGCGTTGAAGATGCCCCAACCGCCTCCACCGTTCACCTGCGGGCTACAGCAGTCGACATGCCAGACAGATTTGTCGATATCGTAAGATCCAGGGCCACTACCGAGTTCCGCGGCATCACTTCCGATGGCTTTGGCCCATTGCTGGCTCTCCAAGGCCCAGATTGCGCGAGAGAAGAGGCCAGCTGCGACGAGGTAGAGGAGAGATGTCGAGAGGACGAGAAAGAGTTGCAACTTGGTTGAGGATCCGAATCTGGGAAGGAACATTATCAGTTACCACTCAGGCCAACCGACAATGAATGGGGGGAGGAAGAGAGGCTCACTTGTACAGAACCACGCCCACCAACGATCCCACGATAACGCCAACAATAGCAGGAATCGGAATCGAGGTCGCCGGCGCCGCGAACGACACACCAGCAACAAAGACAATCGCCTCCACGCCCTCTCTCAACACCGTCACGAACGGCAGGATAAACATGACATATCGTTCCATCCACGCCTTGAACTTGACCCACCATCCACGTTGTCTTTCCACGGTCTCTCCTCGCTCCATATCTTCCTCCCCCCCGGCAACTCTCCCACCCTTTGACTTCTTGTTCTTCTCCTTCCCCTCCATAGCTTTAATCATCTTGCCCCTCCACTTCTCCTTCATCCTGCCCACTCGCAACAGTGCCGCGCCCACCACACTGATAATCACGCTCGCCAAGAGACAAAATGCTCCTTCCCAGTTGAGCTCGGCGCCCGAGCTCTCCCACTTGTTGACGCCAAGAGTGTAGAAGACGCCGATGACGGCGCCGCCGATGGCGATGCACAGGATGAAGCCGAGGACGGTACCAAGGAGAATTTGGCGGCGGAGGGCATTGTACACACGGAGATCCACAACCACGGGTTGTTGTGGTGAATCGGAGTTGTTGTTGTTGGTGGAGGAGGGAGGTTTGAGTTCATCATCATCAGCAGCGGCAGCGGCAGCGGTGGTGGCGGCGGCATGGCTTATTGCCTCTGCTGGAGATGATGACGATGGGGAGGCAAGGGTTTGCTTGAGGAAGACGAGGAGGACCGAGACGATGATGGATGTCTCGATGGTCTCGCGGAAGACGAGGAGGAAGATGGGGACGGAGAAGAGTTGCATGTTGGCTTGGCTGTCTTCAGGTCTGCAGCAGGCTGAGACGGGTGGTTGGGTCCCTTGAAGGGCAAGAGAAGAGAAGTGGTTGGAGAAGAAGAAGATGTTGGATGTGGTGATGGAAGCAACTGACTGAAGTGGAAAAAGAAGGATAAAAGCGGCAGAGAGAACACTACTGTACTTACTTCTAGACTTGGTCTAGTGTACCTCGAGGCGGTACTTCCTGTTTCACCCGATACATGGAAAAGGAATAGTCTAGTGCATCATCCCAACACACAGCATCTATCTGTGTGCCCATTGAGCTGAGCAGGGAAGGAGATGGATGTCTGATGCCCGTTCCCAATAAGGAAGGAACCGGCTGGTTGCAACCGAGCGGTCAAAGTGCACAGTCCCCTCCATTTGCTGTGAAATTCACTCAAAATTACCTGTTCATACAGTAGTGTATTCATGAAGACATCAGATAGTAGTGTGCTCTTGTCGTGAACTGAGTGTCGATTGTTCTGAGTTGATGTTACCGGAAATAACCCGGTTCGATGCCATGCGGTATGGAGAGAAAGGCGGGTCTTTTTTTTTTTTCTTTTCCCCTGCCTTTGCAATTTTTCCACTCTAGAATATGATAGCGCACCCCGCAATATAGCCGGAAAGCTTGATCATGTTACCTAAACCTCTGCCAGCATATACCCGTTGTCTCCTCTGTCTGTTCCCCAACTCTGCTGCCAAGTTTGGAGCGTGGTACCGCCAGCATATAGAGGTGATAATTACCTACCTAAAGGTAGTGAAGAAGGTGAGCAAGGCAGCCATCTTTTGTCAAGTTGAAAGACAAAACCAGGCCTTTTCATAGTAAAATAACTTGGGCACCAACAACTCTAGCATTTACCATACTGCATTCATCAGGACCTGCAGAGCGTGTATCCAAATTGTATCGGCCCTGCAGGAGAATGAAAGCCACCGATTGGCCCGGTGCAAACCTCCATGACGCTAACATGATATATCGCGCAGCTGGGGAGATCTCGAACGATCCTCAGCTCAGTTCCCTAGATTGATTGATTAGATAAAGCGCTTCGGACGATGCCTCTCCACCGCTCTCCTTCCACCCGGCCGGGCCTCGAACACCTCGACCACCAAGGGTCCCATGCGCAGGCAGTCATTACATACATAGGTTCTTTTCTGTCCGCTGTTACACAGTACAACGGACTTACCCGAGAAACCAGAGATGTAGCTTTTCGATCGGTCAATCAATCAAAACAATAATTTCTTGTGCCATGCAAAAAATGGGGTTCGGTCTTGTGAACCGGAAAGAGGAGCTTGCTTGCTTGCTTGACCCATGATGCCACGAGGCTGGGCTTCCAAGGCCGAGGCCGAGGTGACACTCGGTGCCCCGGGTGGGAAAGTGTTGAGTGCCTGAGGTGATGGATGACCCACCGCTCCGAATTCCCCTCTTTCCACTTCTCTTGACTGACTGACTGACTTGGCAAGCCCGGGCTTTATCAGATCTTTTTTGACCAAGTTCAAGTTTATCAGATCTTCTTACTCGGACAACGTCCGTCCGTCTCAAGTTCGACATCCATCCACCGTCGACAGACATCACAAGACCCCCACAATGAGGATACTGTCACGGATCGCCCTTCTTTCCCTCACCACAGCAGCACATGCTGCCACCGTCGTCTATGACTTCAACGTGTCATGGATCACGGCCAATCCAGACGGCCTGGCCGAGCGACCGGTGATTGGAATCAACAACCAATGGCCGCCTCCGAGGATAGATGTCCAAGTTGGTGATCGCCTCATCGTCAACCTCCATAACTCGCTCGGAGATGAAGACACCTCCCTCCACTTCCATGGCTTGTTCATGAACGGGACAAACCACATGGACGGTCCTGTCATGGTCACACAATGTCCTATCCCCCCAGGTGCCAGCTTCACCTACAACTTCACCGTCGACCAGCCAGGCACCTACTGGTATCACTCCCACAACAAAGGCCAATATCCTGACGGGTTCAGAGGACCCCTCGTCATTCACGATCCCAAAGCCCCGTTTGAGTACGATGAAGAGCTTGTCCTCACCGTTTCAGATTGGTACCATGACCGCATGTCATTGCTGCAGCCTCGCTTCATGAGCAAGTACAACCCAACCGGAGCCGAGCCAGTCCCCAAATCCGCCCTCATGAACGACACTCAGAACTTGACTATGCCCATGGTGCCCGACAGGACTTACCTGTTCCGCATCGCAAACATTGGCGCTTTTGCGGGTCAGTACATCTGGGTTGAAGACCACACCATCACCGTGGTGGAGATGGATGGTGTCTACGTCCATCCTACCGAGACAAACATGGTCTACGTGGCTGCCGCTCAAAGATGCAGTTTTCTCCTCACGGCCAAGAAGGAAACCTCCCGCAACTTTCCCATCATCGCCAGCATGGACACGGTAAGTTACCTTCCTTCACCTCCTCCTCAAGCCAGACATCGATACTGACATCCGAACGTACAAGACCCTCTTCGACACCATCCCCCCAGGCCTCAACACCAACGTAACCAGCTACCTCCTCTACAACCCCACCGCCCCCCTCCCCCTCCCTACCCCCCTTGACACTCTCACCCCCCTAGACGACACTCTCCTCCTTCCCCAAGACAACCTCACCACCCTCCCTTCTCCCGACCAAACCATCACCCTCAACGTAACAATGAACAACCTCGCCTCCGGCGCCAACTACGCCTTCTTCAACGACATCACCTACGTCCCTCCCCGCGTGCCCACCCTTTACACCGTTCTCTCCTCCCCCAACTCTTCTTCTTCCCAGGGGGATCTGACCACCAACCCCTCCATCTACGGCACCTACACCCACCCATTTATCCTCTCGCACAACTCCATCGTCCAACTCGTGCTTAACAACCTCGACTCAGGCCGCCACCCCTTTCATCTACACGGGCACCAGTTCCAGATCCTCCACCGCTCCGCAGCCGACGAAGGGACTTGGTCCTCCTCCTCCTCTACACCCGACCCCAATAACTCTAACCATACCGCCGCCCCAATGCGCCGCGACACCCTCGTCGTAGAACCCAACGGCAACGCAGTCATTCGGTTCCAAGCAGACAACCCCGGCGTGTGGCTCTTCCACTGCCACATCGAGTGGCACATGATCAGCGGATTGGCAGTGACGTTTATCGAAGCTCCTTCGATCTTGCAGCAAACCATTAATCTTCCCGCGGACCATCTTGCTGCGTGCAGGGATAGAAAGGATCCCATTCCCTTTGAGGGCAACGCTGCGGGACGGGGTGGTAATAGTAAGGATCTATCGCAGTGGTTGGTGCTAGATGGACAACCGACCCCGCCTAAGCCGATCCCCGCGGGGTTTACGGGGGGCGGCATCGCGGCTTTGACTATGAGTTGTTTTACGGGTATACTGGGCGTCGCGGTGGTGGCGTGGTATGGATTTTCGGAGCCTGTGGGGGAGTCTAACACTGCTGCTGCTGCTGGTGTTAAGATCAAGTCCCCAGCTGCGGCTGGCGAATCGGGGTCGGAGTCGGGGGTGTATACGGATGTTGATAGTGCGGGGAAGTCAGCAAGTGTTGTCAGGGTTAAAAGGGGGACAGAGGCTGTTGAGTCGGAGGCTTTGTCGTTTGGAAGTGAGGAGGAAGCCGTCAATGGAGTGGGAATGGTGAGCAAGAAGGGAGACGGCGTGGTGGTGGATGTTGATGCTATTACGAGGGCATGAAGGGGGAAGAGAATTAATGAAAAAAAGAGTGGGATGATGAATGTAATAGTAATAAACGGAGATATGCCAAGTTATGAGGAAGCAAAAAGATATCATCAACGTTGAACCAAGAAAGTACAACTCATTCTACTTTCTCTTCCCGTCCAGTCCTCTACGCCATCACATCGCATCACATCGCATTGCATTGGTAGGCAATACTCACCAAGACACACTCTTTCAGGAACTGAACTGAATGAAACGAACTGAATTAAATACGGACAGCTGGCAGCAAACTACTCATTCTTCCTTAGTCCCGGTCCTCCTCCTTGATGGTCACCGCCTCCTCCTTGATGGTGACGGCCATTTCGTCCTTAAGCGCCTGATTTACACCACAGTATAATTAGTAATTACTTCTAATCATTGTATGTGCCTATATCAAACTCTATATGTCTTTGGCAAGAAGTTTAACACAATGAATGTGGGTACTTACTTCTGACCGAGCGTTTACCGAGCGAGCCAGGCCCTCGGCCGTGAGGGCGGCGGCTGCCTGGTCTTTGAGCGCCTAATTTACATCACAGTATAATTAGTAATTATTTCTAATAATTGTATGTGCGTGTAAGGTGTTTATATTAGAATTAGTATAGAGTTACCTTATACTCATCTTTGTGTCTTTTGAGTTTGGCTAGATCTCTAGCCTCCTCCGCCGCCCATTTGGCCTTCTTGTCATTGATCTTGGCGGTTATGTTCTAAAAAACAGGTAGCATAAAAGTACCTATTAGTAACAAGCTCATATACGTAGACTATACAGATGATAACCTAGAATTTACTTACGTGGACTTGCACCAGCTCTTCGTTCGCGCGCTTCTCGAGACTCTTTAATACTGTTAGCCGACTGGAACATATAAGCACTCGCTGGGTTGATAGCCCTATATCATATCATACATACCTCCTTGCTGTTGGCCTAGGCGCCATTTGACCTATATTAGCCAGCTTGCACATAAACCTGAATTGAATTGTTGTAGGTGTTTACCATCAGCTTCTCCTGCATAACAGTTAGTTACACGTTGACTGCCAAGGAGCGAGAGCTCTTCAAATCCGAACAGACGAAATATACGTACCAGCGCCGTCTTCTTGGGAGGCTTCTTTATGCCGTTCTGAGTTATGTCAGGATGAAGCAATAGAAGTAATGAAATAATCGAAGAATGACCCAAGGTAACAAGAAATGACAAGGGCGCCAGAAAGAGGGGGGGCGGTAGGAAGGACATGGATTGGCTCGGCAGTTGAGGTCAAGGACTCCATGGAAACAGTTGAGTTGATTAAGATGACGAAACTGGTAGAAGAAAAGCGACTGGAGGTCCAGCAACTATGCGGGAGGGCCATTGATAATGCAGAGCAAGTCATCGCCAGATGAGGAAGACTTGGCTTATTGAGCGTTGCAATTCGGGCTCATAACCTGTCAAAGTGAACAGGGTGCATGTATACAGGAGGACACGAGTGTGGAAGGTAAGCTTGTTGATTGCACAAGCAAGAAGAAGAGAATAAGGGAGATTGGGACGCCTTGGATGTATCTGTGTGGATCGAATATAATCATTTTGCTCGAAGAGTTGTGCCTAGGATGAGGATTCTTTGATAGGGCTGCGTTCGCCGGCTTCGGCAGATGAAGGCCCGAAAGGGGGTAAGGGATAACCGGGAACAGCGATTCAACGAGTGAGGATGAGGTCGTGGATAGAGTAAGGGGATGATCGGCCAAGAGGATGGCTTGGAGGTTGAGCTTCGGGACTCAAGGAAGACGGTTGAGTTGACTGAATGAAATGAGAAGGATGGCAAGACATGCGATTGAAGCTCCAGCATTCATAATCGACATCCAACACTTGATGGCTGTAATGACTGCTAGCCTGAAGGATGCAAACGTAGTGACAAAGAAATTCCAAACGCAAAAAGAAAGAAAGGAAAACAACAAAAATCGAGCCAATGACTGGAAACACGGGTCAAGAGAGGGCAAAAAAAAAAAAAAAAAAACTTACCTTCGCGCCCGCAACGCCGGCCTTGGTGGTGTTTTTTTTCTGGTTCTTGGGTGCCATGGTAATCAAGAGATTGGATGGAAGCTTGAGATGAAAAAGGGAGGATACCATGCAGCATGGAAACCAGCATAGCGTCGGTGGGTAACGAAATCAATGATGCATCTGTTGATTCTCTTGAAGAGAGTGTGAGAGAGAGAGAGAGAGAGAGAGAGCTTCGTCAATCTCGGAGTTGATGAAGGGCTTTTGTAGCCTCTGCCACTGCAGTGGGCCATGAGCCGCTTTCCTTACGGGAAATACTGCATCATTCGACATGTCCAAGAAAAGAAAAACAGGCAACTACCTCTGATAAGCAAAGGAAAGACGGGCAAGAACGCATCGTCAGGTGGTGATACACGCAAAAAAATGCCATACGTCATCTCAGCAGACATGTTTTATCAGGAAGGAAGGATCCGTCTTCCCAACAGTTCAGTTACGAGAAACAATGAAATTGTCCATTGGCAACAACCTACGTAGCCAAACGAGAACGACGAGACCCTGAACTCCATTCAGTCCTCACCCAGAACGATAATTGATTCAGGTTGTCGACGCCCAGGGGCATCATCTCTGGGGTCACGTCTCTCTTTCAGTTTCATGTAACGCTGTTTTATGAGCCAGTGACCGACCGCCTGTGCCACTCTTCATGTGCAAAGACTTTGTCGCTTGAAAGAAAAAAAAATGCAACTGTACCAAGTCTAGTTTGCTAGATCGAGCGAGCAGTCGAGTGGGATTCGATGAACTCGCTCCTTCAAATTTAATGAGCTAGAGGTAGAGGTAGAAGAACGGCCCGGGGTGCAGTGACAGACGCAACTGAGTGATGAATCAAGGCAAACGTACACTGTAGAATCAGCAACAGTGTGTCTGTCAGGCAAGAGCCTGGGGCACTATGTGGGTGGGCAATGGCCGGATACCCTCTCGATGTCTTTGGATTCAGTGGGGACGGGAAGTGCCAAGGCAGATGGAGTGGTGTGGTGAAGGGAGAAGGGGTGGATGCTGATGCTGTTACTGGGCTTAAAGGGGAGCTTCGGAAGGAAGGCGCAAGGAGTTAGTATGTTAAACGAGGGTCATTGTGATGGTGACCGAATAACTGTGGATTTATGGAGCTGTGAGGATGCATAATGATAGTCAAGTTCAAACAACAAGTAGATATCACGGACGGAAATATGTCAAGGTGTAGTAAATTGACTACAGTAAGCCACAAACTCGCTAACTAGCGCAAATCGCCAATGTTGTAATCGCAATGCGTACGGTAACAAAGACACCGGCCAGTAAACCACTAAAACACCATGGCATCAAGGCCAGTCAAGAGCCCATGCCTTACCAGAGGCTAACGCCGCTCAAAGCAAATGCAATTCCTCATCCTTCTCCCTCTCTCCACCACCCGCACTAGGCACAGTGTGGCTCTCCTTCTCGCCCTCCGTCCTGCTCGGGCTCGGGGCCTTGGGGACCCCATAAGCGCCATCGGCCTCCAACGCCTGGAACTTCCTGACCACGCGCTCAATACCATCACAGCCCCTCGCCAGGATGTCGAGGGTCGGGCCGTACGACAAGCGCACGAAGTGGTGGCAGGGGGAATCAAACAGATCACGACGTCTGCTGGGGTTCAAATCGAAGAAGATACCCGGGACGACAATCACCTTCTCCTCGAGACAGGCCTGGAAGAAGTTCAATCCGTCGGAAATCGGGCCGGGCAGCCACTCCAGGTTGAGCCAGAGGTAAAAGGTCGAGTCGGGGACGAGCTTGATGGAGAAACCAATCTCGCGAAGGCGGCCGACAACGAAATCGCGCTTATCGCAGAAGTGGCGCTGGAGAGCCTTCATCTCGGCCTTGACGAGCGTGGGGTCAAGCATGGGGATCGCCGCCTCCTGGAAAGGCACGTTGGTGCCACCGTCGAGGTAAGAACCGCACGAGCCGATGGCCTTGATGAACTCCTTGGGTCCCAAGATCCATGCCACACGCCAGCCGGGCAAGCGGAAGCGCTTGGTCAAACCGTCGATGATGAGGACATCGTCCTCGTCGACATCTTGGACGTTTTCGGCGGCGGAGATGGTGGTGCCGTCGCAGTTGGAGGTGTAGTTGTATCCACTGTAGAACTCGTCAGAGACCAGAGTGGCACGCTCGCGGCAGATGTCCTGGATTTCTGCGAGTTCCGGGTTGGCGACGACACGGCCGGTGGGGTTGCGCGGGTTGGAGGTGATGATGACCGAAGTGCCACGGGCGATTTCCTCGGCGATCTTCTCGGGGTGGATGTGGTAGTCGTCTTCTTCGGACAGCGGGACGGGAATAGCGGCGAAGTTCTTGAAGAGAGAAAGCATCTCGTTGTAGGCCGTGTAGTCGGGGATGAAGAAGCCGACGTAGGCGTTGTTGAGGACGGCGGCGATACGGATCAGGCCGGCGCGGCCACCGGGAACAATCGCGACGTTCTCCCACGTGTACTTGGATTCCTTGCCTTGGCGGTGCATCTCGTTGTAGAGGTGTGCAACGGCTTCGCGGAGAGGCTTGATGCCGGCTGTGGGACCATACTCGCGAGAGTTTACGGAGATGTCGAGGTGCTGGGGGCGGGGGAAGCAGCCTTCGATTTCGTCGTCGACTTCGGGGGCGCCCTCTGAGATGATGTGTTAGTGTATGTTTTGGGGGATTAGACTGGAAGAGGGATACACACGTCCGAGGTTTGCCCACTTCTCGGGCTCCTCAAAGAAACCATGCTCGCCGGCTTGCTCGGAGCACCAGATGACTCCGGTTGAGGATCGAGTGGCATCCAGGCCAGCATGAGGAAGATGTCTATCGCCAAAGGTTAGAATTGGGTCGTTCGAGATTGGTGTGGCACAGTCAAACGTACCCTTCATGAGCTTCTCTGAACTTTCTGTGGATCTTACTGGACGCCTCTGAGTTCTTGATTAGCCTGGCGAACATATTGTTTGTGACTGAATCAAAGGACGACGACATACCAGTAGTGCTGGGCTCTTGGATGGAAAAGCGACGGGCAGGTCTGGGGATACCAGTGTTGCGGTTGATGCTGAACTTCCTGTTGTGGAAGGCACCGGGGGGTGGATGCTGGTGGGAAGCCATCGTGAAAGACACTGCAGTGACTGCTGACTTCTTCTCCAAATTGGCTTGGAAAGAGAAGAAGGAAGCTCAGGACAAACCCAAAAGCGCAGGGCGACGGGAAGAATAAAAGCAATTCACATCGCGACGGAAGCTACCCCGCGGGACTTCACTTGGGAACCTGAACCAACTGGAGGGGTTGTCCAGTCACGGGCATCCATCGAAACCTGAAGTGGATGGAAAGTACAATGGCCGTAGAGGTGTTAGGTCCGGTTGCGAAATCGGCTAGTCTTGCCAGGGTCCAAGTCCAGTAGACCCACCAAGCATGGGTGTTTCCGCCAATTAGCTCGTGTTTAAAACAATGATAATCGTCGATGAAGTTTGTCCCCAAATCTCAACATTATGCAATCTTCAACACAAGACATGGGTTTTGTACAATTGTTTCACGAAGCGAGCCCCTACAAGAAACAATTCAATGCGAAGAGGCCACGAGCAAAAACCTCGACTTTTGTTGTTGTTTCTTTGGTGATGTTTTTGCCGCCCAGGCTTGGAGTGTTGGCGGGATGAGAGAAAGAAACCAAAAAAAAGAAGAAAAAACAGAAAAAAATTCTAAAGCAAACTACCGATTTCGGGCAGGTTGGTAGCGATTCCCCAGTCGATGACGCCGCGTTCGGGTTCCCCGAGCAAGGTTTGTGGAAGGTGTCCATTCAGGAGGCTGGAGTTGCGAACTTGTGGCCGTGATACAAGTGGACGGTATGCCAATCATGCATGAGGATATGCATTGAACTTGGAGATCAACTCAATCCAAGTGGGTGCGTTGTGGGTTTTCGTTGGTCAGCTCCAAAACATAGACACATAGAATTCCCGTATTCTTCTTCCGCAACCCACTCGGTGTCGGCGGTGGGGACTGGACGGCACACGGGAGAGGGGGGCGGGGGCTCGGAGGGGGGCTGAAGGGGCTCAGTGGCGGTAGAACGGGGAGAAGAATTCCATACAGATCTATTCACTGTGCCTGGCTGATCACAGTGATCTGGGAGTTCGTTGCAAGTGAAGGGGTGAATGTTTTTCCTTTGAGGAGCCTAGTGTGACAAATGTCTGACATTACGTGTTAATGTATAGACAACTACGAAGAAGCCTACCTTGGACTAATGGTTACTATCACCACTTGGTATCACCACTCGATATTCCTGTAGTACTTTGACCCCATCTCGTCCGTTACCTCAGCTTGCTTTGTGCTCTCCTGCAAGTCGGCTGGTTCGGATCAAGAGGGAACCCCTGCCAAGAAGATAGGGGCTGCATTGCAACGGTCGTCTTGTCGCCCGGATCTATCCGGAGCTGTTTGACAGTCATGTCACCGCCGGCGTCGCTGTTCGTCGCTCTTAACAATCGACATCGCGAAGGTCCCCTAAACTTACCTCCCGTTGCCCGAATCGGTTTCCCAAACTCGCCATTTTTAGAGCCAAGTCAGTTGACCGACATTCTCGCAGATTGAAGCAATGCTAAAGCTCCTATTTTTGGAACTGATACCGGATCGCTCGGGACATTTCTCTCTTGACAGTTCCCTAGCGAAGCCTGTAAAGGTCAGTTTGACGGGTAAAGGACCTCGAGGGAGGAGTGGCTTGAGGAAGAGGTTCGCCAAGAAGGAGACCACAACAATGGTCGTTATCCACCTCCGTCCCCTGCCGGTTCACCGGGTGGGCCTTCCAAGAGTCAGTCGTAGGGCTGAGATACGGCGAGGCTCTTCTTGATGATCATTGCCAAGCTTTTGGAGTTTGTAGGATCTGAGGGCGGCACAGCGGGAACGCTTGGAGGAGTGCCCAGCTTCAACTTCAGCCCCAAAGCCTCATCGTCCCCCTGACCGGGCGCCCTCCCATATGTTTTTGTGCCTTTAAAAGGTCCGGCCACCCTCCTTCGTTGGGACATTGTCACCAGAGTCTCTTGTCTTCTGGGCTCAGCTAAGGCCGATATCGTCAAGGCTGACTGACTGATTGCTGTAAGCACCTTTGTGAGTCTCTCCACATCTACAGACCCTCCACTATCCAATATGCGGCACCGAAGCCGGGCTTTTCGGATCAAGGGCACTGCTGACTTGGCTGCTTGGGGATAGTCATTGTGGATGACAGCGTCACTCCTCGTCTTGGGATTAAGGGCGACCTGCGTACAAAGGACCACATATCCCACAAGGCCACATCGGGACAGAAACAACCTAACCCTTGCGCCTCAGGCATCATACCTTCTGGCGAATCGGTTCTTTGGTGATGTCGCACAGAATGGGAGGCTGAGATGCCAGGCACGAACCGAACTCATGGGCAGTGCAAGGCTCCGCCCCCTGTTTTGCCCCGCCCTGTGAATGAGGGCGGGGGCTTCCATTGGCGGGGGCGAACGCTCTCAGTGGGTCACTTCCCCAGAAATTGTGGGACCGACCTAAACAGTAATTGCTCCGGATAAGGTACCAAGGGAAGTTACCAACAGACGGGACCTTCCAACAGCACTGCCTGAAAGTTACACCACCTTGGTCTTTTGGAAACCACCATCACCTGCAGATATCTTCTTTCCGCATCAAAAGCCGCTCACTGCCATATGGAGACGAACCCCTTCACTCATCAAGTACTACCTGTACCGGATACAGCCATAGGCTTTTGAAAAGGCAGGAAAGCAAAACATCCCTTGATTGCCAAGCCGATCTCGCAGCATGGTGAGCACACAATTAGTAGAGGTAATCGCCTCCACATTCTATCATATAAGATGCACGTCAGCTCGAATTGTCGAATTTGATGACAGATTGTCAGTTATGGTCGATACCAGTAAATACTGCATCCCTTGAATGACCTTACATTATCATTTCATCCCTTGAGGTTCTCACATTTAGCATTGCACCAACGGAAGTGGCAAAGAGCAAACAGCTTTGACGCGGCGCTTATATGCCAAGTACGGCAAACACAAAGAAAAGGAGCTCCGTCGCAGTAAACCGGCAGCAACGAAGCTGCAGCAGAGAGTCACGGTCGGGAAATAGTTACAGTTGGCGCAAATACAAAAAGAAGGTTTCCAGACAAAATGACAGACCTCGACAATTCTCCCCCTAGCAACATCTCCCCAAACTGTCATCAACAACAAACCGCCACAAACCAAACTTCATCCAACGACCCAAACATGTCACACCAAGGCAAGAAAGAGGAAGGCACTGCCTTGTCGAGAGGGTTCAAAAGATTATCTGGAGTCTTCAAGAAAAAGTCAGACTCCGACCTGCGAGACCAGGGTCAAGTCTCCCAACCCATCAGCACCGCCCACGATACCCTCGCCCCGAACAATCCTTTTGCCAACTCCGAGGCAGCCCCGCCCTCCTACAGCGAGGCCATGTCAGGCAAGCCCGGGGGATCCAGTTCCATTCCCGCCATCCCGTTGAAAGGCAACCAGCTACATGCCTCGAATCGTCAAGACCCCGGCGCTTCAACCTCCTTTCAACGGCGTGTGACCCTAAACGGGCAAGTTATCACCGACATCGACGACCCCTACGCCTTTCTCTCCATCTTCGACACGGTCTTCCTCATCGACGACAGCGGCTCGATGATTGGCCAGCGGTGGTCTGAAGCTAGGGACGCCATTGCCGCCATCGCCCCCGTCTGCGTCGCTCACGACAAGGACGGTGTCGACCTTCACTTCCTGAACCACCCCCGAAGCTACACGAACATCACCTCGGCCGCCAAAGTCAATCAAATATTCAACAGCGTTCACCCGTCCGGACGCACGTTAACAGGGCAGCGCATCTGGGACATTCTGGGCCCGTATCTAAAGATGTACACGCGGGGTTTCGGGCATTCTAGCTGGGACCCGGAGAAGACAGGCGTGAAGCCAGTGAACCTGATTGTGATCACGGACGGGGATCCACAGGATGATCCGGAGTCGAGGATCTTACAAGTTATCAAGGAGTTGGAGAGGGTCAATGCCCCTCCTTATCAAATTGGAATTCAGTTCTTCCAGGTCGGAGACGACCCGAGGGCTAGGGCGGCGCTGGCGGAGCTGGATGACGAGCTGGGTGGTGAGAAATCGAGGGATATGGTTGATACCGTGACGTGGGACAATGGAGATACGAGAGCGAGGCAGTTGGAGGGAGAAAAAATGCTCAAGATTGTGTTGGGGAGTGTGGTCAAGAGGCTGGATCGTCGGCCGGCGGCTGGTAAGGATAAAACGGCCAAGAGATATTAGGCCAAGCTACTGTCTTACTTTATACCTTTCTCCCCGGCTTCTTTAGGATGGCGCGGCTATGATCAACAATTCGGAGTTCGGGTTGCTACCTTGCTGGTTCGGGCCAATGGAGGACCAATGCATGCATCAATGGCGTCCATGGTATGTCCTGAACTCTGAGAACATTTGGGGGGCATATAGGTGCATTCTTCCAGGGAATACCGCATTGTTTTGGGAAAGCGTCAAACGAGTTCAACATGAATTTTCTTATAGTTTTCAGTTACTGCAGACAGCCTTCCCTTTGACAGCAAAGTGGAATAATCAACATCACGAGCGTTCAAACACCACAAGCTACATACCCCTAACCCTGATTCCGCACGTGAAACAAATTAACCGGCACCGCATCAGCGAGTTCCAATCCTTGTCACAGCGCGTCTTGGCACACTTCACCACCACAACATCAACAACAAAACCCGCTAACTCCTACCGTGTCGTGCTTTCCCAGTTCCATCTTTTTCGTCCAAACAACCCTCATCGCCCTTTTCATGAGAGGTGCCTCATCATCATCATCAACACCATCCATCTGATCATCAACCATCCCTATGATCACAATAAGACAGCAATATGGCCCCCCACGTAACCCCCACCACCAAACTACAAATCATCGGCGCCTTCAAACTCCTCCGTTTTCTGCGCAGTCGCCACCAGTTTCCACCGGGCACCATCTCCAACAACGACATCTTCCGCCTCTTCTCCGTCTCCCGCACCACGGGCTACCGCGTCCTCTCGGAAATCACCGTCTCGCAGGACCTGACGGCTTCCGAACGCGCCGCTTTAGACGCCGAAACGGCCGCCGCCCTCGAAGAAGAGGAAAATGCCCGCATCGCAGAGATCATCAACAACCCGCGCGAGGAGACGAGGGGACGTAAGCGGAAACTAACGGAGCGGGATGTGGAAGTGATTGAGCACTGGTTGGATCGGAATGGGGGAAGGGGAGAGGTGAAATGGAAGGATGTTCCCGTGGCGGCGGGGTTGGGGGTCATATTGGGGAAAGATGGAAAGGGGGTGGTGAGTGGGGTTACGGTTAAGAGGGCGTTGTCGGCCTGGAGAGAGAGGAATAGGGAGGTGGATGTGGAGGATTGGACGAGGGCGAGGGGGGCGGGGGGACTGAGAGGGAGTGAGAAGGCGAGGGAACGGTGGGGACGGCCGAAGCAGGGGGAACAAGGGGAGGCATCAGGTTTGGGAACTGGGGGTGGGGGTGAGAATGGGAATGAGGATGGGAATGGACAGGGCATGGGAGAAAGGGAAGGGCCGTCGGAAAGTGAGAGTGAGAGTGAGGATGAGAGTGTGGTGGAGACGGGGGCTGGGCCTTTGGAAGCTGGGACGGCAACGGCAACGGCAAGTGGAAGTGGAAGTGGAAGTGGAAGTGCTGCTATAGCGCCAGCGACGACAACAACAGGAAACGGGGGTGAGATCATCATGAATGCGACGGGCGAAAGTCAGGCGCATCAGCAGCAGCAGCAGCAAAACACCAAAAAGAGGCGAACGCAAACCGAACCACAAGGTCCCGATCCCAAGTCCCTATGGAAAAACCGATGGGAAATTGAAAGGGCCGCAAAGGAAGCTGAAGCGCGACGTCAGGCGGAGGCTATGGCTGAGGCTAGAGCCCGGGCTAAGGCTCAAGCTGCCAAGGAACGATATCGTCTAACGCGTCAGAGGAAACGCCAGCAGCAGAAACTTGAGAGACAGCAGCAGCAGCAGCAGCAGCAGCAGCAGCAACAACAGCAAAGTCAAGTTCAAGCTCAGAACTTGCCTCCTCCTACTGCTCCCGTACCACAACAGCAGCAGCAGCAGCAGCAGCAGCACCAATATCCACAACATCCACAACACCCACAACACCCACAACAACACCCACAACAACACCCACAACAACAGCAACAACAGAGACCATACACATCAATGAGTTTCATCCCTCTACCAACCTACGGACAGCAGCAGCAGCAACAAAACGGAGTCGCAAGTGCAAGTGGAAGTGCAAGTGGTAGCGGTAACGGAAGCGGAAGCGGAAGTGGAAGTGGACCTCCAATAAGTAGTAATGCAAACCAAAGCTTCAACAATGGGGCTGTTGCTGGAAGTTGGAATGGAAACGCCAGTGCTGTCGACGGACAGAGAACAGTAACTACTGGTGGTGGAGGAGAGGCGGAGGATATCATGATGCTTGGGAGACTTTCGGGGGTTTTGAGGTAGGATACGATGATTATACCGCTTTGGGGTTGTGGGAGACGGGAGGGTCGGGTTTGAGCGAGGGACAGGGTTGGGTTCAGGGACAGAGTTAGGTTTAGGGACAGGCCGGCAGCCATAGCGTGAGCAGGGACAGGAGGGACAATGGTAGTAATTGGGGTTGAAGGAGTGTGGACTGCTGGACGCGGGGCGTAGATGGTGGTTACTTGACGTGTTTTTTTCTCTCTTCTTTCTTATCTACAGTCGGGAAGAGACACGAAGGAAACGAAAAGGGGGCACACGATCAGTTATTCTATGGCTTTTTTTTGCATTTATGAGGGGTATATACACAGAACTGCTTGAAATGGTAGGATGAAGGGAGGGAAGTGTGATGGGAGCGAGGGGAGATGTCTTATATCACTCCAGGGGGTAGGCATTTACCAAGCTGAGGACAGATCCTGCACAGTGATTCTCGATTATTGATGGAATTGGGGGAATACATGAGTAATTACAACAACATAACACAGGACCCATGAAGACGAGGATGGATGGCTTCATGTTTGCCAATGTTGTTGGTTTTGACTCAGAAGGTAGGTAGTGATATTCAATATTTATTATCCGTGACAAGGACTTCAACCCAGCGATATCTATCTATACAAAGCCATCACCATTTATTTCAAAAACACCAAACAACCCGCTCACCAAAGTTTCCAATACACAGCACTGACAACCCCCGCAACAGCCGCCACCGCAGCTCCCACCACCAAAACAACCATGCCACTCTGCGCCGCCTCCCCCTTGGGCATCCTTTCAATGATCTCCTCCAACCTCTCCGCCATCTGCGTATCCGCAAACCTACTCTTAACCCTCTCCACCCCCTTCCTCCCCATCTTCTTCAACTCTTCCTCCCCCATCCCATTCAACACCTTATCCATAACCTTGGCCCACTCCCCTACTTCATTCGGGTCTCTCAACCACCCCGTCTCCCCTTCCACCACCGTCTCCGTCGGTCCACCATTATTCGCCGCCAAAACCGGCACCCCCCTTAACATGGCTTCAAGCGGCACGATCCCAAAGTGTTCGTTGCTGGGCGTGTAAACCAACAACTTTGCTGACCGCAGCAAGATTTCCTTGAGGGTGTTGGGAACCGACAACAGGAAAAGGACTTCCACATCAGGAGAGGTATTCAGCGCCGACACGACCGTCTTGGCTGTAGCCGTCTTGAGATGGTAAGGAGCGCCCTCAGCGAGGTCCACCAGGTCCATATGGTAAGACACGTTCTCATGCACGCGGTTATCATACCCCCCCGCGATAATCAACTTTGCTTTCCCCCTTTGCTCAGGAGAGAGAGAGGCAAAGGCCTTGATGGCCAGAGCTATGTCCTTTTTGCGCTCGAAGCGATTGATGGATAGGATAATGCCCGTTTTGGTCCAGGGGAGTACATCCTTGTCGTCGTCATTGGGGTTTTGGCTGGCGTCGGAAGTAGAGCGCACGTCGATGCATGGGTGGACGACTTCCAGGCTGCGTTTGCTGGCGAGACTGGGCCATGTTTGAGAGACGATCCCTTTGGTAAAGGAGGAGTTGACGGCGATGGAATCGGCGAAGCCCATGGACCATTCTTCCCAGATGTCGAAGGGCAGGCGGTAGAGGCGCTTGTACCATTTTTGGCGCCCCTGGACGAGGAGCAGGTCGGGGAAGTGGCAGTAGAAGAAGATGGGAGAGGTCGGGACGAGGAGTTTGAGCAGGGGTAGACCGGCGCTGAGTTGGTCGACGAAGAAGGCGGAGGGGGAGAGGGTGCGTAGTTCGGAGGTTAGGAGGGTGATTTGTAGGATTAGGTGGAGTTGGCGGAGGATGGCGCAGAGGATGGAGAAGCGGCCGAGGAGGGAGGGGGGGATGATGGAGTTGCCGCGGACGCGAACGTCGAGGGTTCCTGTTTTGTCACTTTGTTAGCTGGCTGTTTGGGCTGAGCAATGGAATTGGTGACCAAGAGAGGAGGAGTAAATACCATCGCGAGCTTCATCAAAGCAGTGTCTGGGATCGCAATGGCTGGTAAAGATGACCACCTTATGGCCACGGTTCTGAAGGCCTACGGCGGCGTCGACAACCAATCTTTCTGCGCCGCCAATTCCCAGGTCGGGATGGAGAAAGACTGTTGTCTTTTTATCTTTCTCGTCGACACCCGCCGCCATCTTGACATGTGAATGTCGTAAAGTGTCTTCTTGACGGGGTGTTTGTTGAATGAACGTGTCCCTCCCCTTTGGAGATGCGATGTCATAGGGAGCTTGTCCCGGCAGGCAACGATAATGCCAGGGTACACTAACATAACCGCTTGCTTCTCCCGCGAATGAGTGTTAAGACCGTTGGATCACATAATGGGGGGACCTTCAGGGGATTGGTCGGCTTGGTGCTACCCGCAATTAGGTAATAGTTTAACGATGTTGTAGCGCAAAGATCAGCAACCAATCCCATTTCTGACGACGCCAAGGGTCCAAAACCGCGACACGCCTTGTGAAGAGTAACGCCATTTGTTGACTTCAGTTTTGGCTTGTGACTTTTCCTTGTTTGGATCTTTTACCAGGAGAGCGTTGAGAGGGTTCTCCAAGGTTGTTCAAAGTCTTCAAGATCGAGACATTTTGGCTTGATCCGTCCAGACTTTGAGCAGTGTCCTAAAGTTCCCTTGGTCCAAAAGCCGACGACTTCAGCCTGGGAAACTAACTCACATGTTTTGACCTTGTTGAGGTCCCGTTGCTGACACCAAACATCCACTTTGCCTCGGTCTGACAACTCAGAGAACCAAAACACCAGACAATTTTCGACATTGATGACTACGAGGTCAACACCAACGCTATAAGATCACCAGTTCCAACCCTCACCCATGGGTTCACACAACCATGGCGCTAGCTCCGGCGCAGAGCTCTCCAATGGTGCCCCGCTGCTGACTGTCAATGGGAAACCCGTCGAGAATGGCGTCGTCGACGCGGGGTTGAAGAGCCTAGATCATTGTATGTACAGGAGCTGGCTTAGTGTTCCTGTTGGAACCATTGGGTTAACTAGCTGATCGCATCCGTACCCTCTCGAGCAACATTATGCCCCTCCAACCCCGCCATGTCTTGCGTGTCTTGAGCTACATCTTGATCGCGTTCCCAATGTCGTCGAGCCTCAAGCTGACCATGGTGACTAGACCAGAGAGCGCTTCCAAAATGGCGATACAACCTACGACAACGACTACTCCCTCTCATCCGCTGGGAGACCCCATACCTAGCCATGCTCCAGGAAAAGTTACGGACACCAGCGTTGGATAGATACTTTGCCATCACGGCCAACCTTGGAACACACACCTTCTTCATGATCGGTCTACCAGTCCTCTTCTGGTGCAGTTTCTCTAGCTTCGGCAAGGGGTATGTCCTTCGCCTTGAACCAGTGGAAATCCCACAAGACCCAAGCTGACAATGCGCCATACGTAGCCTTGTCCACATCCTCGCTGCCGGCGTCTTCTGGACCGGCTTCATCAAAGATATGCTCTCCCTCCCGCGACCGCTCTCCCCACCTCTCCACCGAATCACCATGTCCGGTTCCGCCGCTCTCGAATACGGTTTCCCGTCTACACACTCCGCCAATGCCGTCTCCGTAACCGTCTACTCGATCCTCGTCCTCCACAGCGACAAGAACACTTTCTCACCCAGCACGACGTTCGCGCTCGAGCTGCTCGCCTACTTCTACGCCTTCTCCATCGTCTTCGGCCGCCTCTACTGCGGCATGCACGGCTTCCTCGACGTCATCATCGGTTCCATCATGGGCGCCGCCATCTCCTACATCGAGTTCTACTACGGCCCGCCCTTCCAAGACTGGCTGTACGCCAGCGACTATCTCGCTCCCATACTATTCGCCATAACCATCCTTATCCTCGTGCGCATCCACCCCGAGCCGGCGGACGACTGCCCCTGCTTCGACGACTCCGTCTCCTTTGCCGGCGTCATTGTCGGTCTCGAGATCGGAACCTGGCACTTTGCCCGGTCAAGGTGGAACCATATTTACAACGGGCCCAACGCTCTCTTCGACCTCTCGGCCCTAGGCTGGCCGGTGATTGTCATTCGTCTCATCCTCGGCGTCCTCATCATCTTTGCCTGGCGCGAAGTAATGAAGCCTACGCTGCTCAAAGTCCTGCCTCACCTCTTCCGCGTCATCGAGACCCACGGCCTCTCACTGCCCCGCCGCTTCTTCATGCCCGCCAGCGAGTACAAGGACGTCCCGCTCAACCTGCGCGACGACGAGGTTCTTCCCAAAGTCAGCGACATCCCCCGGATGATGCGCAGTATCCGTGGACCTGGGCGTGGTCGGGCGGTCAGTATTGGGCCGCAGAGTGCGGCGGATGCGTATGAGACGCTGGCGTATCGGGAGAGGAAGAGGAGGGAGAGCTTGAGTAGCGAGAAAGGCTCCGGGTTGAAGCAGGCTCAGAGCACTGCTGAGGGCACTGATGGAGAGGAGTTTATGGTGGATCAGGCTGCGCACTCGTCGGGCGTTGAGAAGTACGAGAGGCAGATGGGTCAGGGGCAGGTGGTTGTTGAGAGCACAGGGAATTTGAGCCCAAATTCATCGGCCGTGGAGGAGCCAGAGATGTATCTGGGCCAGAGGGACGAGTTGGGAGAGAGGGAAATTTTCTCCAAACTGACGAGGCCGAGAGTTAGGTACGATGTGGAGGTAGTGACAAAGTTGGTTGTTTATGCCGGTAAGCTGCCCCTTTCTTCCGCTCGTTCTCTCATGTTACACGTGAGAGGGTTAAGGATCAAACTGGACCCCGCTTTTTCTGGGTGCTCTCACTGACAGCCACAACAGGCATCGGATGGCTAGCAGTCGACATGATCCCCATATTATTCGAGCTCACAGGGTTACTGGGAGCTGGCCATCTCCCCTTTCCCGTTCCTTCTTCATGAGCACAGTGGTATCAGGTTTTGACAAGGTGGTGAAAAGGGGTAGGGGTGTCTTTCTTCAGCTGAACTTCTTGGCACACTTTTGTTTCTTTTGCTAGTTTATACATACACTAAGTCATATGGCGGGGGTTTTGGTATCTTGTTATGATGTTATGGATCCATCTATGCAGCTATCTCCTCCACCCCTTTTGGGCTATTGAAGAGACTGAAGATTAAGGAGGAGGATTAAAGACGAGTGTCTTGGAGGCACAGTAAGTGGATGCTAATGAGAACGCTGTCGGCCTGGGGACTAGATCATCCATCCATGGCAGAGGCCGACTGTAGATCGCCGCCGCCTGTCGATTTGCGGGGTCGATAGTAAGCATCACCGCGCCCACGTTTGGACTTGTAAGAGGTCCCTCGCTTGTACCGTTTGGTCAAGGTGAGGTGTCTGTTCCTACATCTCGCTGGCAGCCCTAACCAGGAACTCAGCATATGTCAGACATGTGGTCTGCGGGTTACACGTCAAAGGCACGTTCGTTTCGAGTTCCTGGTTTCCGAAGATCACGGCTGCTGGTGGGGTTGTGGTTGCCGAATAGTGAGCATCTCGGTCACCCATGAGCGCGTCGGGATGTATATGTACCATCGACACCTGGACAACACCGACACTTTGTGGTTTCCAGTGAGGTCACTGTAGGTAATCAATCAACCAGAACACCATACCACCACGGGTTGAACTAACTAAACCTGGGTCCGGGACGTCAACTGTCCAGTCCAGCCAACCACCTCGGACCTCTCAAACTTGTTGGGTCGCCAGATGCGCCAGCCATGTATGTTCGCGAGCCCAACAAAAGTTCGTCGAGACGTCCGAGTCAGACCAAAGCGGGGGTCGCTGGGGGCCTGCCTGGGGGGGCTGACGGACCCTGACTTTGAGTTTCTGAGCTGTCACTGGTCGGTCGGCACAACAATAAGCACCGACGTCAACTTTTCATGCTGGTTGCTTAAGCTTATGTACTAGATTCACTCACCGAACCCAGAGATGCTCTCATCCCATACGTCCGGCCTCGGGCCATGCGTGCGGCGGGCGGGCGGGCATGATGCCGAGAACGCGAGGGGAACCCCAGATCGTGGATCGCGGGATCGCGGATCGCGGATGTACATATGTAAGGAATAAGTTAAGGCTGAATTGGCATGGCAGGTGTGTGGAGATTTCGCGCCTTTTTGACATGACACGCGCGCGGGGGGGGGGACAGAGGAACGAATGATAGTGTAGGGCTGGGCTGGGTCAATCTTGGACTGGGCGTTGGACAAGGGGTGATTATATGTAATTGCGTGCTCTTCAATGCTGTGAGATGAGGGGGAAGATAATAAATGATGGATGAACGCACTGAGAAAGGACCGACATCATACATCCTAACGGGGAAGGGCGACGTAGGAATCGCGACGTCGACTGACCCTTCAGCCCTATCTGATGTATATGAAGTCGTCCAGAATCCGTTACTCTTCGCTGGCAACTCGCGATCGCAGAAAACCTTACCTTTCTTCGAACACACCTAGGTGAAAACCTGTGAATAGCATCACTTTTTGGTCTACACGTCAAGCAAAGATATGCACAGACACACGAGATATTCACATGTGTGTGTGTGGTGGTAAAGCCCCCTCAAGCCCAATCAGACCACACCAGAGTGTGTTTCCAGCAGGAGATCAAGTTCTTCCGATGATGCTTTTCCACTTCCGCTTCCACACGCTTTTTGCATTTTTTACCTACTCTACTTCTACCTTCCGCATGCGACAAGACAACGTGACAAGTTCCAAAAAGCCTCACTTATATGTTACTGAAATGCCAAGAGTCCACACACAACGGGCCGATAGAAACCAAAAGCCACAAACAGAAGGAACTGAACTGACAAGAAAAAAAGAAAAAAAAGCCACACACCCAAAAAAAAATGATATACATACTGTAGACACAGTGACGTTTTGGGGGAGTGGATCAGCATGCATCGATGCCCTGGGCTGCTTGGTTTTTATCCGGCCGCCGGACTCCGGAGTGTGACCTAACGGCGACGATATCCGAATTGTACACTAGAAAAGTCACGTGGAGTTCGCATCCATCTTGGCTGGATTTGGTTAAAACTGAAGCGTGGGCAGATACCGGTACGGTACCGGTACTGGACGGATTTTTCTCCAGTTTGCCACCTGCCCCAACCTGGCAACTCAACTCCGAGTTCCTCTCCTCATTGGTTGCCTTTGGCAGTTTTCCACCCCAGCCGCGTAAGCCCAGCTGGAGATG